GCACGTAGAGGACGAACCACCGCTGCCACCAGTGTGATATCGGCGATATCAACAGTTCATGCACTCAAAGTCTCTCTCTCTAAACTACGATCACAATCAATGCTACGACACAGTCGCAGACTTTCACAGTTGAACTCGGGGTCGAGAGAGCCTAACTCTCGGGAACGTACTTCTCTTGGTCTGAATCACGGAAAGGCAAAGAATGATTGTGAACACTAGCAATTTATAGAGGAAGTTAGCTATCGGGGAGATCGATAAAACAGCGCAGCGGAGCAGGGAGAAGGATCGCTAGATCGAGATGGACAGCGTAGAGTACGGAATAGCTAGCCGGAGAACAGCGGGCTTTGCGGCAGAAAGATCGAGACTACGGGAAAAGATAGCGAGAACTAGCGGCAAGAATATCGAAGAGAAACAATGGAAACGTTATGTTTAGGTAGCGAATGAAGAAAGAGAAAGAGACGCCAGCGGTGTAATGGAATCCATAACTAATTGCTAAAGCAAGGGAGACAGTGTAGGAAAAGTGATATCTATTATCATGTGTGTGGACCAGACAGAGTGGCGGCAGGAGGAAGAATAAAATCTGTGAAGCATTCAGGCTATTGACTGTGGTGTGCAAAAAGCGTGTCTATCAGGCCGGCGTACAGGTTTCTATAGATGACAGGTCATGCATGCAAAGTGTCACGTGCTCCTACGCTACGGTGCGCCAATACTACAAGATCACATGATCGCATGTACACACCAGATCATGAGTCCAGACTCAACTCATGCACAGCAACTAAAAGCCGCTAAGTTCATTTCACACGCGCGCTCGGGAAACGGCACATGCTGCATGCATAACCTAACACGATGTGCTACTATCATGAATGTCTGGGTAGCCAAGGAGTGCCACAATGTGTATGTAGACGTGAACACTACAGTGCCTGACATCTACAACCTAGGAATGTATTAAATGGAATGCAAGTGTTCATGCTCATGTAATGTGGTAGTCTTCTTTGGTTGAATTACGTTTGTGGCTGTTGCACGTATTATTACGACCAGCTTGGCTCTCGCGCTACTTCACATGGTACACATGTAGGGCTTGTGGTCCGAGTCAGAGTAATGTCCAAAGCTGACGTCAGTATTCTAGGCTGACTTTATGCAAGAAGAGACAGAATTATAAACTGGTTGTTTTCTAAACACAATTGTATAGCCCGTGATAACGCGGAAATGCGAACTTGACTTGTTTAAGGATCGAATTTCATTGGCGTGTTTCATTTACGTTTTGTGTTTGAACTGTGTGTTTCCTTCAGCAATTGACATGTATGGTAAGTGGCATGGGTATACAGGCGCACTCTTCACGGAGCAACCACTTGTCTGTGTCGTCTGCAAACGGTCCGATGGCCGGTAATACCCAGTCATTGCCGAACAGTCATACTAGTAACGCACCTGGCCCGACTCCAACCATCCCAGTCCAGCCGGTTGCCGCAGATTTCCTGCCCGCATCCACGTCCACTCCGCACCCCAGTGTCCGGCAAGAGAACGGGCCCAATGCCAGGAGTTACGACGGGCCCACTGCCAGGAATTACGATAGGCTCACTGCCAGGAGTTACGATAGGCCCGCTGCGATATCCGCTGGGCTTGTCCCCGCCAATGTCGTGTTGCCCACTGATTTTGGCTTCAAAGGATCCGCTACTCCGCCGCGTCAGGTGAACACCAGTGGATCAGTTTCATCTCTGGGTACTACATCAGCCTCCAGTACAGATGTGTCGGCTAGTACGGCTTTGACTACAAACTCGGGTGCGAGGCAACCAGTGGCGGCTGCGGTGTCTTCTACAGCGCCATCTCAACCACGGTCGCAGCAGGTTCTTGCTGATCTCTAGCGTGCTATGTGGTGTGTGAGTGCGTGCGCTCGCGCGGACGCGCACACACAATGCCATGTGTTGTGCGGTGTGTGCGTGCATGTGGGGTTTGTGTATGTGTGTGTGCGAGCGCGCGCGCACAATGCCATATGTTGTGCGGTGTGTGTACGTGTGTGTGTGTGTGCGCGCGCGCGCATGCACACAATGCCATGAGGGTGAAGGCAGTTTCGACAGTGGATTGGACTGTAAGTCCGACTGTGAATCGGACAGTGAGTTTGAAAGATAAGGCTGGTGGACCGCACTAGCGCTATTGAAGTTTTTGAATTGATTTGAATTTGAATTGTACTTTTCAACTCTGCAGCAAATGACAAATACACTACTGCGCTATTATTTACAACATCTTCCATATCGCTCGTTTGCTAAGATCAGCTTATGATCGCTATCACTCTGCCGTTTTCCGGTGTCCTTTGCTTCGCTCGTGCTAGCTCTCTTCCGCTGGTGTTGTCGAGATAGTGTCCCAATAAATGAAATCCTCTCATACGAAAGATCCATGTTTGGGGGTGATTTTGGTCAAATTTTACAACAAATCAATCTGTGCCATCTCTAATCACCATCAATAGGAAATGAACGCTCGGCAAAGGGCAACCATGATCTACAAATCATCCAAACACAAGAACAAATTCACATCGACTGCACTAATTTTCAATAAAATATCGTATCACATGCTGCCAATTTCAATCAAGGAGTCGTAAAATAACGTAAAATAACGACTTCCGTAACGAAACCTAAAATTGGTTCTCCCCAGCTTATGCCCTAGTTCTGGACATGACAACAAGCCGTTTCGACATCCCTAGGACATGGTCTTTCCACCCATGCAAAGCTCAGGTTGTCTGCTTGAGACTGAAACGGGACTTGCAAAACAACGTCTTTTAGATTTGGGCCGCAGGACTAGCTATGCTATAGCTGGCCTGGCTGGCCTGCAGGCTCAACCCACGCAATTGTATTTTCAAAAATGATAAAAAATTCTTTGTTCTCAAACTGTTTGCCAGTGCGACGAGCGTTTGTCATCGACGTTGGAACTCTGCGCTTGAGTTGTTGTGCTGGCGCTACTTGGTCAGGAGATGGGTGATGAACACAAGCGAAGGTCGCTCAGCAGGCCAAGGAAAAGCAAATTTCCTAGAGCTACGTCCAAGCTCATTTCAAGTCTTGAATTATTTGAGCCAATTGAGGGGAGTGAAACCGAACACGAGTCGCAGGCTGATGGAGCTGGTGAGGGCGTAGAAGATGACTCTGATCTTCCAGGTGATTTGTTATCCAGTGATGCCTCGTGTGATAACGATGGAGATTAGTTTGAAGAGGATTGCGATGATATTCCATCAGGAAATCGAATTGTTCACATGGAGAGCTTACAGCAATTGGTGACGTCAGCGTGTGTATGTAGTAATTATCAAGAGGGCAACCTGACTATCAAAGATAATTTTCGTCGTGGCCTCGCCTCAACAATTAGTTTGCAGTGCGAATCGTGCTGCTCATCAACCAGTGTAGCCCTGGCAGAAAGACACCCACTTGCTAAATTGTACGATATAAACCGCCGCCGCAGTGTGCTTGCCATGCGCCTTATTGGTAGTGGACGAGAAGGTCTGAACAGTATATACGGGATATTGGATATGCCGCCTCCTGTTAGCAAGTCCAATTCTGGGCACAGCGATGCACTACACACTGCTGTGGAAACTGATGCTAGGGACAGCATGAAGAATGCTGCACAGCGTCTTCTTGTTCGGCGAACAACAGAACAGCATTCTCACCCGGAGCATGTTGCAGTTAGCACCGATGGAACGTGGATGAAGCGCGGGTTCTCATCAATGTTTGGTATGCCAACTGTTGTCCTATGAGACAGGAAAGGTTCTGGATGCGGAGGTGCTATCAAAACACTGCAGTGGATGTGAAACTTGGAAGAACAGATGGCAAGCAGGAACAATTTCTAATGCTGAGTACGAACAATGGAAATGTTTTCGGCTGTGCTGGAAATGATGAGCTGCTCTAAGTTTCACTTGCCAGCCTGGTTGTCTGGTCTTCTCAAGTTGGATGGAGAGAAGCAGTATCACAGGAGAAGAAGGTCCAGTGAGGAGGAAAAGTCAGCCAGGAAGAGAAGAAGAGCCATTTGAAAGGGATTTGCTGACACGACACAGCAAGCAGAGGTAGTCACATACATTGCTGGAGGGTTCTCAGAGTGCCAAAAGTTAGTGTTTTTTGGCCTTCCGACCAAACTTTGGTACACTTTATCTCCAGACTGGCTCATCGCAGCCCAATAAACCTTATATGTAGATTGATCAGTGGAAAATTTCCCAGATGCTGAATATATTTATAAAGCCATAGTTTTTTGTTTGGCGGATGTTAGCTGCCTCAGTAGTAATAATCTTTTTCGACGGTGACGGGCATCTTCACGGATGATGTTGACTGGGTGGTGCTATTTGTGTCCTATCTCCAATCTGTTCTATTCAGCATCTGCTACTGTTGTAGACTGTTGCTTGTGATGCATTTTTAACACTTCAGCTGATATTATGTTGCTGCTAGCATGTACCAAAAATCTGACATGACGGCATTTTTTTACTGTCCAGTGCAGTGAACTTTTGGGACGATGCAAAGTAAATAAGTTCAAGGTAGTACTTTTATTAGGTGATGGCGTGAATCATGAATCTGTGCTCAAAATTTTGTGGGAAAAGATTCACAGACACCGAAGTAATACTCAATTTTAGTTGTGTGTATTTGCGAATGGCATATTCCAGTACTGCTACCTTAATCATGCCCCCCATCATCATGGGCCGGCTCTTGATACAGTTATGTAGCAGGGGAGTACAGTAGTAAGATCAAGAGTAACGTTATGTAGAGGGGGGGGGGGGGGGGGGGGGGGGTACCGGGTATTATACTGTTGACAATTATTATTGCTTTACAACCCCCAGCTTGATGGCAACAAGAGTACACAACAGCACTGTATTGTAGGTAGCATCAAGTAGATCTACTCTTGGTAGCATCAAGTACTCTTGGTAGCATCAAGTACTCTTGGTAGCATCAAGACAAGGATACATGAAAACCGGTTGTCATGCACTCTTGGCAGCATGCAAGGCACATCACAGTGGCGACAGACAAGGCACAAACAACAGGTGAGCTCTTCCGTCATTCACATAAATTCGAACCAGACGAATCGTCACGGAGACACCAGCACGCATGCCATAAGTGGTTGAATGCGAAGCGGGAAAAAATCGGCATCGCATCGGAAAAGCGAGCAGCTATTACAGTGCGCCTGAGAGTGATCTGAGCAAACGGAAATGAAGTCAAGCAAGTTGTTGCAAGACTGCAGATGTACACGCACTATATGCACCACGAAAGCAACCAAGCATTGGCAAAGGCATAAAAAACAAGGGAGAGAAAGAGAGAAAACAAGGAAATTTTGCAAATACAATATATGGTAGGTCTCACTCCATTGCATTGGCCTATACACGTTCCCACAAATGTAGTCAAAAAGGAGCAAAACCGAGAAAAAGAAAGAAAAGGCCACGGGGCTGAGGGTCCTCTACCAAAAGTGGGGGAGCTTATGTACAGCATATTGCAAAGAGAGAGAAATTCACAAGGCCGCACGACGAAGGCGGAGTGTGCAGCAAAGCCACATACGTGCAGGTCGTCACGGGGGACACAGGAGAAGAGAAAAAAAACTAGTACAGGCAGTTTAAGCTGACCAGTACACAAACAGATGCAGGGTGCAAACACGGCACACGCGGGTCTTTACACGGACCCGACAGCAGCGGCGAAGCGAAACAAAGAAACGAAACGCGCGCTCAACAGAAGCTATCGGCAGTGTCTGGAGATAGGACAGATTGGCGGTACGCGGACAACAATCTCAACCACAAAGGAAACACACACGCACACACACACACATGCATGGAGGAAGCAGCATAGAAAAAGGATCGTGCAGCACACGACATGCACAAAGAGAGATACAGCCACACCGACCTAGGCTAGCCGCGCGCCCGAGAGCACAGCAAACCTGAATACACAGGGGACAAGACCAAAGGAGGCAGGCATGGCTGCACACGAGAGAACGAGGCACCGGCGACCAGTGCATACCGCCAAATGCAACGAGCAGCAATGGCCGTCTACCATGCTGTTGCCAACTGGCTAGAGCAACGGGCCGCAGATCACACGGTGGAACAACAGCCACGGGCGAATCAAACTGGCTTGTCCAAGAGCGGAGGCAGCAAAAAAATACAAGCAAGAACTATAAGAGCTATGTTCAAATTAAACGTGCCGCATTGAAATACAGCTGGATCGCTACATGTATTGCAACAGCCGGCAGCAATCGGGCAGACTTGGAACTGCACAAAAAAAACAATACACACACACGAACATAAACAGAAAGGATATTAGTGGGGGTCTGGCACGTCTCACTGGAAACGATAACGCACTCTGCCCATTGTAAACCGTACATGCACAGTAGTGACAGGGGTACACTGAACACACAAGGCAAAGACCGTGATGTCATTTGCACAAGCCCAAGGCCACTCCAAAACAAGTGTACATAATGGTGTGATTAGCGCAACTCTGACAGGGCTGCTGCCAAGTGCTCGTGTCATAATTCGAGTAACATGCTCAGAACTGGTTCTGAACAATCACAGTGTCCTGCATAAGCCTGATGATGATTTTGTGAGAATGGACTCGGATGGAGAGCCAAGGATGTTATTTCTATAACTTAGAACCTTCCAAGTTGGAAGGCTGTTGGAGTGCACAACCAAGATGTGCCAGAGCTGATAGCCAGTTAGTTGTAGAACGTCAGTGCCGTCGATCAGTGTCGTGCAATGTTATAGCATGAGCTGACTGTAAAGTAACTGGTGCTGTTAGTGGACATTGTAGCGTAACTTGTAGTTTGATGATTTTGTGCACAGTAATAAAAACATGTTGGGGATTAGAATGGTAAATTGGGAAAATTCCACTGTTTAGGCTTAGTTAGCAAGGGGTGAGAAGAGAGAGCGAGAGAGAAAGAGAGAGGGGGGAGAGAGAGAGAGAAAGAGACAGAGCGAGAGAGAGAGAGAGAGAGAGAGCCATATCATCCACTCACATCCTTCTGTCTACTGATCAGGCGTTGGTTCTGGCGTATCGTCGTCGCCGTCCTTACGCTCACGCGGCTTGGCACCACCAAAGATCTTCTGGTTGGCCAGAGTGTCAGCTAGCTGGTTGACCGGTGCTGCCACAGTGCGCTTCTGCAACTTCAGCCGGGGACGGCCAGCAAGCTCCTCTGTGTCGCGTAGGACGATGCAGCACAGAATTACAGAGCACACACACACATCACAGTTAGACACTGAACGGGTACAAACACTAAAGAGTACGAGACCACCTTCATGGGCGTACTCGGAGAAGAAAGGAGAGGCAAGTGTGGCATGTCAAGCTATTCCAGAATAGTCACCAGCTTGAAAAGCAGCAGCAGTAATCGTAGCCTCACCCTTTGATGCTTCCCGGAAGGTCTCCTGTGCTGGTGGTGCACCACCGCGGGGAGGTCCACGCCTGTCACGGTCATCTGTACACACACACACATTATTAGTATTAGCACACGAACCACAGAAGCCATATAGTTTCGACTATGCCTTTCGTAGCAATACTTTTCAATTCGAATACAATGGTGATCAACATGGCAGCAAGCAGGTCCTGGTAACCGGCACTATGGCGGTCAGAGCAGTGACAAATAGCACACACGTATCCATACATGTATCCATACATATCGAAACAGAGAAGGAAGCATACACAGATGCGCATGCAAATTAGACCAGAGAACCAAAGAACCATAAAGAGAGAGAGAGAGAGAGAGAGAGAGAGAGAGAGAGAGAGAGAGAGAGAGAGAGAGAGAGAGAGAGAGAGAGAGAGAGAGAGAGAGAGAGAGAGAGAGAGAGAGAGAGAGAACACACACATACACACACCGAGAAGAAGTTGCCATCCACATCCCTACCTTGACCTCCACGGGAATAGTCGGAGCGACCACCGCTGCGATCGCCACCGCCAAAGCCACGGTCACCACCACTGCGATCACCACCGCCAAAGCCACGGTCACGGTCGCCATAACCACCACCACTGCGGCCACCTCCGTTGCCACCGCCACGATAGCCATCGAAACCTAAGAAACGCACAACACACACACACACGCTTTGCAGGGTCAATCAACAGCGCAAGAAAAACACAAACTAGCCGCACCAAAAAAAAGTGCGGGCCGTTTCCTTATCAGGCGTAGAAGTAGTGGCAGTGGCAGCATTTGATCTTCGCCTCGTGTAGAGTAATTCGCTTTCGACAAGCGGTGACACTGCAGCCGTCCTTGTAGAAGAGCTATGTGGATCAGCAAGGGCTGGTTTAACCAAGCACAGCGGTCACTGGCAGCGACTAGATGAGGATGAAGCGGAGAGAGGAAGACGGCCAACGTGACCGTAAGCTAAGTGTGTGGTTGAGAAGCCGTTGCCTTGACCCGAGCTGGGGCCATGGTGAAAAGGCGAGCATGCGCACCTTGCAAACATGGAAGAGTGGGCAGCAGGCCATGCCAGCGCTGCTGTTGTTGGCAAAGTGACAACAACAAGATAGCGCAGAGAAAAAGAGGGGACACACAGGGGGACATAACAGACATCGCTGGGACAACTCACCAGAGGATTGAGTTTCTGTGCTGTCCGACGCTGCACAGACAGGGAGGGGAAGGGTAAAAATGAAGCGACAACGGGTAAAATCGCCGCTCGGGGGGGGGGGGGGGGCACAGATAGGATCTAGTTACACAGCTGGAGGTGATCGTCTATAGATACAGTGGAGAAGTACACGCTGGTAGGGGTGAGGAGTGGGGTAGGGGTTGAGGGAGGAGGGGCAGAGGGAGTAGAGTCAACTACACACACACAACCAAACAGAACACGTTCAACAAACACAAACATGCTATCTCACACAGAATAGAAAACCAAGAGACAACAGCAGCACCGCCAGCAGCAGCACTACCAAAGGATCCACATCAGTGCAGAGAGAGAGAGAGAGAGAGAGAGAGAGAGAGAGAGAGAGAGAGAGAGAGAGAGAGAGAGAGAGAGAGAGAGAGAGAGAGAGAGAGAGCGAGAGCGAGCGCACCCACACTGACCCCCACACACACATCCACACAAAGAGGCACAGAGGCGGAGGAGGAGGGCAACTCACCTCCGTCGCGGTTGCCGCCACCTCGGTCATCTCGGTAGCCACCGCCACCGCCACCACTACCACCTCCTCTTCGGTCACCGCCTGGTGGACCACTGCCGCTGCCACCTTTCCGGTCTTTGCCTCCGGCAATGTCCACACGCATGCGACGATCGCCGATGATCTATTCAGTCACAGCAGCAGCATATGTCAGAAGAAACAATAGACTCAATTATCGACAGGACGCTACAGTTGCGCCCGGTGACATCCGGCCCAACGTGCAAAGCTGGCGCCCTGGACCAGTTCCCATCCTATCATTGTATCTGTACATGTGTACGTTCAGCCGCATTTGTGCTACTTCCAGGGCATCAAGGGCCGTGCAAGTTGAGGGCGGAAAAATGCATTGGGTGGGATTTCACCTGTTGTCGCAACTGCACACAGCGCAGTTGCGATGACAGGTGAAATCCCACCCACCCACCCACACACAATCACAACCCAACCCCCCACACCCACACACAATCACACCCACCCACACAAACAATCCCTCACACCCACCCACACTACAGGTAAATGCACTCACCGCGCCATCGTAGTCCAAAGCAGAGCTCAGTGATTCGGAATCTTCAAACTCAACGTATGCAAAACCTAGCCAGACAACACAAACAGAAAAGGAACCACCCACAGCAAACAAGAAACTGTATAAGACATCAGTCGAATGACAACATTTGAGCCTGGATCAGCAAAAAACATCACATGTGCAAAAATTTCCAAAAATATGTTTGTGCTCCAAATTGATCCACATCCACTGATAACCAGTCTCAAGAAATTTTAGATCAATCACAGCACCGTAAGTGACCAAAAAATGTGGTACACCGCATCTCTGTACAAATGTTGGAAGTGGCATTTCTGTGTAGGATGCAAGTATGAGCGTTGGTATGTGTCTGATCCTGATAGGCATTGCCATCACTCAGCCGGCTAACAAGGAGGAAATTTATAGTCCTTGGGGGTGTACTCAGACACTGGCTTGTCGAAGTAAATCATTGGCTTCGCTGACTATCGCGCAGCTAACGGCAAATGGCCAAGTTCCAGGGGCTGATATTGCATCCACACCAGGCTCAGTACTGATGCTCTCCAAGCCCTTCACATCCATGAAAACATATCTGCACACACGGAGTGCAATCACAGTAGCTGTGCCTACTTAGCACACAGGCTCATGAGCATGAGGTACGTACTAGGTGCAGATACATTCAACGGTTACCTGACCCTACAGGAACATATTTTTTTGAATTTTTTTGGGAGCTGCATGGACGAAATAAATGTTTCAAGTTGCTCAGCGTCCAAGCCAACGAAGCAGATCTTGTCTGGCGCTGGCTCTCGTTGCTCTTCCAGTCGTGGATCGAGACGCCTTTGCTCTGCATCGTCACTGTCGATATCCGACAAACTTACTAGTGAAGGAGTCGTTCATCGCTCAACAATATCCACTCGCGACGTCGTCATTCTCATCAGCGCTGCTTTCTTCTACACGAAGTCTGCAGCCTCGCCGAGTCGCTTTGCGGCAGGAGTCGTCCTCTGGAGCTCCGCGGCTTTCACCTGACTCCCTTGATGAGCAATCGCCATCCCAGTCATCACCAGAAAATGTCGTGTCGTGATTGGCGTCAACGACGATCGATGCGCGTGCGATGCTCGCGCCCCGCGATCGTACCTTTTCGCCAGCCAAGCTCAGATACGTGGGGTTTCCCAGCCGTGTCTCCTCACTTGCCTGGGGCTTGCCTAGCTAGCTAGTCACTGACAAACAAACAAACACGGGCTTGTCAGGCGGAAAGAAAGACTAGTGACAAGAAAGACAGAAAAGTGATGGGTAGTTGTTAGGTCCGCGACTTTTCTTTCGCTCGACTTCAACGTCACTTTTTGATCAACTTGATATCAAACACAAGTGATGGTGTTCGCTGATCCGGGCTCATTTCTAATTGTCGAATGACATCATCATGACAAAACAGGACTGGTATGGCACAGCAGAAAATTAGCCTGAGTACGCGTCTGATCAGAGCGGTGCAACACTGCAGGGTTCGCACCAAGTCATGAAAATATTATTCAAGGGTTTTCAAGGGCCCCAAACCCCATTTTTTTCAAGGACATTCAAGGACATTAGTTGATATTATTCAAGGGTTTTCAAGGGCCCCAAACCCCATTTTTTTCAAGGACATTCAAGGACATTAGTTGGTGGGCTAACCGTTGGTTGGAACATCGCCGCCATTATCACTCAGAGAGAAGACATCGCGCTCAGAAGAAGAGGTGTTCACGCTGCGTCCAAGAGTGAACTATTGTGCTCTTTGACCCTCCATAGTTCCTCTGAGAGAGTGCCTGGGAGATAGGTAGCTTGGAAATGGCCGTAGAACGTGCTTTCCTGGACGCAATATTTAGCCATTTCTACCGTCTTCTTCAACTTGATTTATTTCGAAAAAAATGTTATTTTTCAGGGTTTCTGCACTGGACGCGTTTGGGATCGAAAATCTCACCTGCGCAAACAGGCTGCGCAGCTCACGCGCTGAGATCCCTATCAGTACTACCAAGAGTGGATCCACTCTTGGTACTAGATCTACGGACTACGGTACCGGTTACGGGTACCCAGCAGTGCGCGTAGACCCACTGCATGAACATGAGTAGATCTACCGCATTCAAACCCAAATTCAAGGAAAAACACACTTTTTTCAAAAATTCAAGCACCCACACGAAAATTCAAGGATATTCAAGCACTTTCAAATCCGGCTTCGACATTCAAGGACTTTCAAGGAATTCAAGGAGTGGTGCGGACCCTGAACAGGCGACGGCAGTTTCACTGTTGGCCAACCCCATACCGCAGCAATTGAGCTTACGCGATGACATCATACACTGCCATACAGGAAGACTGTTGAGTGGCAAGCTGGGAGAGTTGTGAACGGAGATACTAAAAGCCCAAATATGGAAGCCAGCTGAGTGGCAAAAGTGATACAGTAAAAGCAAGAGTACATACCCCCCCCCCCCGGGTGTGCAACGCCTAATCCAGCTCTGCATAGGGTCTTGGTCGAGCGGAATCGGATCTTTGCGTCGTAATACCATACACATCTGAGGGGAACCCGGGGAGTCGCGGGTACTCTCGGATCAAAAACAATGGTGCCCTGCCTCGAGACCGGCCTTGCGCTGGTGTGGAGTGTACGCATGACATCAGAAGATCCGATTCCGCTCGACCAAGACCCTATGCAGAGCTGGATCGGCGTTGCACCCTCTGGGGGGGGGTATGCACTCTTGGTAAAACCTGCCAAGGCAACCACTCGGATAAGGCGACCTGTCCTGGAAGACCACCGCAACCAGGATCAAGGGATGCTATTTCCAGTCAAATGACCCTGGATAAATAGACCACGTTTTGAAGGTCCCTTGAGCAGCGGTCGTCTTAGACAGCTGTTTCACTGTACTTCATTGACTTGAGTGGCAAATGCACTATGAGGAGTCATTCACACAACCTCTATCACCACTAGCAGCAGCAGCAGCGGCGGCAGAAGCAGCAACACAATGCTGCTGCGTTGCTGTACGAAGCTCAACTACAATGCAGCTTACCCTTGAACCTGTCGGTGTCTCTGTCGCGGATCAAGCGCACACTGTGCACCTACAAAACACGTATACACGTACACGCGCGCGCACACACACACACACACGCGCCAACAACATCCTCACATTATAACCGAAACATTGGCAGTCGTGCTAACAACATTCGAACACAGTTTATAAAGAAGCAGTCATCTGACTATTCTTGTCAATAGAGAGGTTCTGCAAAACGAAAATTCGAACGAAGTTTCGCGATGGTCCTTGCAAACGTGTATACAATTTTTCGCACGAGTTTTGCGTTCTGCAGAGTTTCGTAGTTTGCAGGCGCCAAGTGCACGTATGCCAGGACCCCATCCGACGAAACTTCCTACGAAAGTTCATTTCGCGTTCCCTGCAAGTTTCGCGTCCAGTTGCGAAAGTTCGTGCGAAGTTTCGCACTTCATGACATAGAGCGAAAGTTTGTGCGCATTTTCGTTTTGCAGAACCTCCTTAATAATTATAAATCCAATATGAACTCGGATGTTGTCAAGTTGTTGGTTTGCGCCTCGTAGATGTGTTGGTGCTAGGTGTCAGGTCGTTGAATGTCTCAGCACTCCTTGTCAGTTTTGTACCTTGTTGTTGCACTATCTGACTGTATATTATCTGGTTGCATTGGTGGGCAGTTGGTCATGGCTCGTAACATTCTGTCCTTTCTTTACTTATCAAATCCAATACGCTACAGATAATGCCTGTTTTGTCCGTAGGGCTAACGTCGACCGCCAGAATCCATACAAAGCCATTTGTACTCGATAAGAAGAGTCCCAAAAGACAGAATCCAGAGCTTTAAATATACGCAACAGATGGATAGCTTACTTGCAAGTCCTTGAATATGTCATCTACGTCCCCTTGGACGCAGCGAAAAGGCAAATTCCCAACAAATGCAACGTACGGAGGCTCCGTGGGGAAAGGCTTGCTGCTTGAGCTTCCACCTCGGCCGCCACCACCGCCGCCGCCACCACTATAGCTCTGATCGTCGTATCCTCGACCACCGCCACCGCCACCGCCGCTGCAGAACACAACAGCCGTGGGAGTGCTAGTGAGTTATGCTCCGTTTCCCCTTCCATGCTACTTTAGCTCCAGAAACACAATCGCTGCAATTCTTTTGCACGTCGATTTTATACAACCTTACCGTCTGTCATCGTATCCGCCGCCGCTATAACCACCACCTCCACCTCGGTCGTACCTATCTCCCATGTCTATTTTGACTAGAAACTGGAACAAGAATCGAGACCTTCAACTGCAGAGACGACCAACCGTCTTTATAAAAGAGAGAACAACTTTTTCCAACTCCAAAACTCCAAGCAGGAGATTGCACGAAAAACTCAACAACTGGTCGATGTAGTTGCCTGCAAAAAGCACCCGCCATATTGAGAAAAATCTGTCATAGCAACAAGACCGGGCGGACACGTACGTCGCAGCTTGCGTACATGTACTACCAAGAGTCCAGCCCACGGCTGTCACGATGGTCATGTACTCGGCCAAAAAATATGGCGTCCAAAAATTTGAAAATTCAAAAATCTCATCATCGATCTGTCATTGATTTGCTTGAAAATACTCTTTTTCTCTTGAGGAAACCTCCACTTTCCCCTTCCAATCGACCGGGTTTCATAGTACAAACACGCTTCATGACTTCCTCTCGCGATCCTCTTTCATCTGATACCCGTCTTGGCCGTCTTCTTCCAGGAACGATTCCTTCAGAGGTGCGTTTCCTTTGCCTTGACGACTTGCCCTTCGTCACTTCTATCAGCCCTTTTCACAGCTACCTTCTTCTCTTGTAAAAGTTTTCTCGTCTTCTTTGCCAGTTTTCCTGGTGCCTGGGTGACTTCATTTACCGATTTTTTGAATTTGTTTGTCTTTCCGTGCTACTAGATCGATTTCCGTGGCCATCGATTCTACCGTATCGCGTGCTAGTAGTAGTGTGTAAAATGGATGAACACAGTGCATTGCTGTCTACCTGCTGCAGTATTGGTGGCAAAAAGTTTGCCAACATGGCTGTGTCCACGAAATACAACGTGAAGGACTATGCCAGATCATTCAAGATGTGTACGAGGTCGACATTTCTCAGGATGACCCTGCGATCCACCCTACACACATTTGTCATGTATGCAAACGTGTGCTGGATCGTTGTCTGAGAGAAGGTTGCCTTGACTCATTTGTAGGGGATGGATGTGGAGCGATCAAAGTGTGGAAGCCACATCACCGCACATACTGCGACATATGCCACACTGCACCAAACAAGGGTAGACGTCCACCAAAAAAGCAGAAGCAACTTGCTTCAAAGCTTTCTGCTGTACAAAAAAAAGAAAAGAAATGGATCACACAACAGTCCCACAACATTCATCCACAACAGCAATACCCCTATCACACTCTCCTGGACCCCAGACAGCACACAGTACTAGTTAAATGGATGTAGATGAAGCAAATGTTTTCACGCACGCAACACCGACATACAGCGCACAGAAGAAACTGGACAAGACTAGGTTCGTTCATTGCGCAGCAGGTTCCACAATACACAGCAAGGGAAGTGCCAATGAATAAGAAAGACGGCAGCATAGTGATGGCATGCATGGCGTACATGCCAAATCTCATTGACATCGTGATGATCTGATGATCTGGACTTGTACGACACATATGGGTGGCTGACCTGGCACGGAAATGTCATTCCGGAGTCCGAGATTCGGCTAAAACTTGGCGGTGACCGCCTCTGGAGCAAATCTTTCGCAAGCCAAGCACCACAACAATGCCATCCGCCCAGTTATCTTGCCAATTCCCGTCAGCAACGTTGTTATTCCGTCTTTTCATCTGGATCTCGGCATTTTCGCATGGCTGTATGACATCTACCTAGCTGAAGTCAAACAACTGGATGTGAAACTGGCAGCAGCAACTCTCTAGCCGTGTGCAGATGATCAGCTCCAGTTTCAAGAGCCAGCAGTTCTCAGCGACAAAGTTCGGTCCGCCAGGCAAGCTATGGAAGATGCCCAGGCGAAGAGCGATGAACTACAGCAGCAGCTCCAATATGCAGTGCTCTTGCAGCAACACGCACCGGCCAGCTTTCCCAACGTCAACATGGACACTGTAGCTGCAGCAATACAGCAACTGTGGAAAGACGCCAGCGACGCCTTCACTGCTGCAAGTGCTGAGCACAGCAAACTCGTACATGACTTAGACGAGATGAGAAAGAACAAGAAAGTCACAGGACCATGCGCGTCAAGTCTCGAGTCTGTGCTCCAAACACACAATGTTGATCGGCAAGCCTTCCATGGCGGTGCCTTCGTGGGCAACCATGTAGATCGCACACTGCAGCCTGCCGTACTAAGAGCACTGATGTCTGCTCCAGTTGAGGTGGTTTCCACTCGTTGCCAGCAGCTCGTTGCTGATGCAGAAATCTTGCAGCAGCGGTACCATGGATTGTTTTCGGGATATGCCGACTGCAGCCACCGTTTCAGCCATTGCAACAGCATGTCAGAGGCCGACATCGCAAAGCTGGCTGACTGCATCCAGCTGTTTCTTCAGAAATGCAGAGAATCCATTATCACCCGGCAGCTCGGCAACATAACTCCGAAACTACATCTCTTGGAGGAGCGCACAGTCCCGTTCACCAGGAAATTTGGAGTCGGTCAGGGTCGACTCGCCGAGCAGGGCAGCGAGTCAATTCATGCCAGATTCAACAGGCTGAGCTTCGATTATAACGCTATTCCTGGGACTCTGCAGCGCCTCACAGCAATGTGCCAGCAACATCTCGTCGGGACATTGCCACAACATGACGCTGTTCGTCCCGCCACGGCATCAAGAAAACGCAAGGCGTCCGAGCTCGAGCAGTGATCCTCAGGCCCTGGACGCAGCAGCTTGGCCATTTCAGCCCTGATCCAGGTAAGAAAAATAACAACGGTACTGCTGACTCCTAGTTGAGCTCTGTAGTGACAACAGGAAGAGACGTCGTCCAGCAAAAACCTGCTGTCTACCTTCTCCTTCCTTTTCTTTCCTTGTTTGTTGTTGTCGAAGCTGAACAATTTTTGTTGTGCGACTTCGAAAGTTTGAATCCTTGTCCCGATCGCGGTGTTTGTTACCTTGACAAAGCACAGTTTTCGCGTGAATCCCACAGGATCTTGAAATCTTTTTCAGTTTTCAGAATATTTTTGAATTTCACCGTAAACCTGGGCGAAGGCCGCCATATTGTTAAGTGGTGGCCGCGAAACAGCCGTGAGCCTCCAGGGCCCATGGAATGGACTCTTGGTACTACACACAGTCTGTATACATTTTTATTATTTCCGACGTTTGTCGTCCCCACGTGATATTTGCTACCAGTTTTGTACGGCGCGGCGCGGATGCCAAAAAATCGTGATTGGAACGCGATGTGGTTCAAAAAGATCGAATCGCACGTAGAGATTTCTTGAAAATCAGACAAATCTGCATGCAGCGCAGGCAGGTGAAGTGAAGAGTTTCTTGCCAGGACAACAATCCGAGTGCCAGTGGGAGACGATAACAAAAAATTAGCATTCAAAGCCAGAGCTAAAGGCAGGCAGTCTGAATCTGTTCCGCCACTCTCGATCTCCCCTCGCCGGCCGGAGCGGCAGCAGACCAGATCAGGGATGTCGGACGTGCCTGTCTGAGAAGAGAAGCTCGTCTGTCTCTATGCTTTTCGCGAATAATAGTGCAAATGGTGATGGCGTTTGGGCGCACGTAACCATGAGGTTTTCGGCAGTTCGCATTGTCAAGCTGCTGGCGTTCATCAACCTGTTGCTGATCGTGGTATGGCTGATAGTGGCCCGTTGCTACCAGGGGGCGAGGCTACCTGATAAGGCTCTGTCCGGAGTCTCAGCCGCCGGCGGTGATCCTGAGTTGGAGACCCTGGAGCAACTGTTCACCGATATTGAGAAACTGCGAGGCGTGGTCGAGGAGAAACGACAGGAGGCCTCCAAGCTGGAAAGCAGCGTGCAGGTGGAACAGGCGTGGATTCGCCGCGATGAGCCTCCCACGCGTGCAACGCTCGGCAAGCCCCTCTCGGACGCCGACGCAAAAGAGGCTTACAGGCGCATGCTCGCGCTGGCGCCGAAGAACGAGTATGACAACACGCCGTGGAGCATGTTCAACCGAACGCACTACTATCACTCCAGCGTGGGCGTGGGCCGAGAGAGCGGCGGCGTCCTAGCCGGCTGGCGTCTTCGCGAGGCCGAGATGGTGCTGAGTACCGCTGCGGACAGTCTGCCCTCTTGGTATGCCAAGGACGGCTTCCTGGAGGGCTTCCGGTGCCTGAAGCGGCACTACGGGATGGTGTACGAGCTCTACTTCACCGACAACAAGTCCAAGACGGACGTGAGACGGGTACGCGTCGTGCGAGCGCTCGGCAACCTCACCGCGTCCGACATCGGCATGGAACCGGCGGCGTTGCTAGGCAACGACTTGAAGCGCGCGCTGGTGAGCACCGGTGAACGCGCCAAGCATTCGCTACACGAGGTGGAGCCGTCGCGACGCCTACTCCACTTTGTCCTGCCGGTGGTGCACAGCAGCACGAAGCACCTGCTCGAGTTCCTCGACTATTTCATCGCGAACGTTCTGGGCGTGAAGGCCGGCGCGACGTACGCTGCGAGCATGGACCTTCACCTGACCGTCGTCATAGTGATGGCGGACATGACACTGGCCGACCGGCTGGAGGCGGCTGTGCGGGGGCGTTGCCGTGGCGTCGGCTTTGACGACGTCACCTTCCAACGGCTGGTGGACCGGTTTGATACGTCTGCGGTGCTGCGCGCGGCCATGGTGTACTCACCCGGTGACGGGGTGGTGGTTTCGCTAATCAACGTCGACACGCGATTCAACAAGGAGAGCGCCAAGCGGTGTCGCTATCTGCCCGAGCGCGGCCTGCGGGTGTACTGGCCCGTGGCGTTTCGCCTGTACAACGTGCGGCTGGCGCACGGCAAGTCGGCGGACGAGGTGCCGCTGGCCAAGCGCCTGCGCCTAGCGGCGTCCGGCGGCTTCTGGGCCGAGCAGGACTACGACGTGTTCTGCATGTTCGGGTGAGGATTACACACATACATACACACGCGCGCGCACACACACACACACACACACACACACACCTCAGACCTGCCCATCGCAGAAGCGATGATAGCCAACAGCTATGTTAGACATAGCAACTTGTGCTGGAATTACACCATTCAACAGCTTGCAAGGCTGATGAATTGACCACCACTATTCAGTAGTAATGTTAGCCTGGTATCCACCACACAGCTGATTGAAGTGGCTTTTTCTGGCCAGTGGACCCCATATATATCACACACACACACACACACACACACACACACACACACACACACACACACACCTACACACACACACACACACACACACACACACACACACACACACACACACACACAACTGCAGCTGTGACAGGAGTATTCCTATGTAGAGTAAGTACGTCCTGTATAGTCAGTAGCAGTTTAGCACTATGCATGCAAGACAGGGATGTTAAACTGTGTTCACAACTGGCGCGTGGACGCGGTACGCTTGCGGTTCATGCGTGCCCAAACGCGCGCTCAAGCTTTCACAAAAAACAGCAATCCGAGTCGTATTTAGCGCGTGCGACACCTTCGAGTACTGATTTTTTGACCCCGCCAGTCAAAGTGACTGGCATGTACGCTGGTACGCGCCTGATACGCGCTGAAAATTCCAACATGTTGGAAGTTCCATTTCGGCGCGTTTCCGTACGCATGGCGCCCCAAAAGCCAGCAAAAATACGCACAAACACGTGGTTTCACGTGTACACGCGCCAGTTGTGAACACAGCTTAAGTCTTACAAGTACATAAGTACATTCTACTCCTGGTATACTGTAAAACACGATATTTTCGGTGTAACCTTAATTTCGGTGATTTCGGTAGAGAAAACAAGCACCTAAATTTATATTACACCTAAAAGGCACCAGAGTATGCACTGTATGAGCAGGTAAAACTGGTTACCTAATTGTAAATTACACCTGAAACCTGGCAGGTCCCTGACACCGAAATTTTAATACACCTAAAATTACATGTTTTTCAGTACTGAACACCATTGTGCAGGAGAATTAGTTCTTTATAGCCAAAGTTTGTTATAACAGAAATGAACTTACAATGTTGGTTCAAACTGGGACATGGACAACAGCTCGCTGTAATTATCACGAAATTCGAAATGCGAGTCCAGTATAAGTGGAGTTGACTGTATACATATGCGCAGTAAATAAAATATTCGAGTGCTAGCTAAGCTGTTGAGCTTCAGAGAAGCGAGCGAGTACCAATCTGCCCGATGTATTCGTTTCACCCCCACTAGATAGTGCCGGTTGATTCTTTAGTCTTCTATGCTGTTGAATTGTGTAATCCCAACACCAAGCTGCTGTAACATCCACATAGCAGTGGCAGTGTTCTCACCGGAGCGTCCATTACCTTCGGTGTGTGCTGCTGTACGGAGATCTGATTTGAGTTATGGATGCATCATCTTGGTTTCGTTCTCTCTCTCTCTCTCTCTCTCTCTATCTATCTATCTATCTATCTATCTATCTCTATCTACACCTCTATCTCTCACTCTCTCTCTCTCTCTCCCTCCCTCTCTCTCTCTCTCTCTCTCTCACTTTCTCTATCTCTATCTATCGATCGATCGATGTGTCTTTCACTTTCTTTGGCTATGTGGTGTGTTGTTGTTGTTGTTGTTGTTGTTGTTGTTGTTGTTGTTGTTGTTGTTGTTGTTGTTGTTCAGATCTGACGTAAAATCCGTTCTCAGTAATGTCAGTCTGGACTCGGTGACTCGCCAGTCCTTGTCCCTGTCTACTTTGGCTTTCTACCGCCAGTTTGCACGCTCCAGTCGCTTCAGCATCGTGCGCCTGCCAGACCGCTCTCTCTTCCGAGTCCATCGGCCGGCCAAGTGTGCGCTGGTAAGTGCCGGGAACCATCTTCATCTTTTATTTAGAGTCTAGCCGCAATCAAGTAGCGTGCTCCGCTGCCCAAAGAGTGCTCAATACGGAAAAAAACCTGTAACTAAAGACCACCGTGACTAGCGACCAGCCTGGTACTACAGACCACCTTGCCAGGCACGGACAGTCTCACATGCATGTATGGTTGTGCGGTGCAAACCTCTAACTAAGGACCACCTGCCACTAAAGACCGCGTTCTCTGGCCCCAAGGGGTGGTCGTTAGTTACAGATTTTTCTGTACCCATATAGGGCAGAGTTTGACACACAAGAGAGAGACAGACAGACAGAGACGGACAGACAGGCAGGCAGACAGAGAGAGAGAGAGAGAGAGAGAGAGAGAGAGAGAGAGAGAGAGAGAGAGAGAGAGAGAGAGAGAGAGAGAGAGAGAGAGAGAGAGAGAGAGAGAGAGAGAGGGAGGGGGAGGGAGAGAGAGAGAGAGAGAGAGAGAGAGAGAGAGAGAGAGAGAGAGAGAGAGAGAGAGAGAGACAGGGGAAGCTGTGTTGCAACTCCTGAGTCTAGCCGTGTGGTTAGGCGAGACGGCAGAAATGCCTGTGTATCTGGTGAAGTAAAAATAAAAACAAAACAACGCCATTTTCGATGCCAGGTTGCAACGCTGCTGACGCCAAGACCTCTGGCCGGTTGAGTTGCTCCCTGTATATCGGCACGTCGTCCCTACATCTCCTGCTGTAGTGACGCACATAAAGGGCCATACGCTTATGATTGAGTTTTTGCGTAATTTGATAAATTTTGCGGGTCGTTTTGTCTCACACACAGGCGCATGCGCTTGAGTTGCTACAGTCCATTTCAAAACTTTAGGCCGCGGTCACACCAAACAAGCCGTTTCCCGCTTGCGCTGAAAGTGGCTTGTGCTGAATGGGGCGGTTGGTCACACCACTTCGCGAAATCGGCTGGATTTTTTTTGTGTGCTAGAGTTTTTTTCTTCCCGCTCATTTTTGAATATGATTTTCTCTTGTTTTCCCGTCCGCCTTTTCCAGCACACTTCTTCAGTTCGTCCAAGATCCACGCTCTCTTTCTGGTATTTTTTTCATAGTGGTCTCATACTTGATTTTTGTTTCAAACCAAAACTCCAGTAGTCGCCGCTCCAGTGCTACTGTCCAGGATTCCATGATGACCGACAAAAAGGCAAGGAGAGAAGTTTCACCAACAACGAAAGCCGGAAGGTGGCAGAACACGATGCAAGATGGAAGATCCTGGCGAGCTGAAATTCGCTCCTCAAGGCGCTCGACTCGAGCCAGCAGGGGGTGCAGGGCCGTCGACACGGCCGCCGTAACGGAACGTGGATTTAGGCCAGTTGTGAGTAAGCTGGCCGGCTGGGGAACGGCGGACGGGATATCGTCCTGCTCCGCACAGGCATTGCCGGAACGATCGGCCGCATGGTCCGCAGGGCTAGGGGCTCGATTTGGAGTGTCGGCATACGGGGACGACGAGGCGCGCCTGCGACTGGAATGCCTGGGCCCGGGAGCCGACTGCTTACGTGCACGGGGCATCTCCGTGAGCTGTGGTAAACCTTGAGATCGATTGAAGTTGAGAAAGAAATCCACTGCCAATGCGGACAAAGCAAGAACTGAACGAGTTTATTTTTCCCGCCACTGCGCCAGAATGGCTGAAAGTGGCTGAATCCATTCAGCGCTCCCATTCAGCGCTTTGAAAACGGCTGACTGCTGAAAAAGGCTGAAGCCGAAAATTCAGCCGTTTCCGTAGCGACGATGACGTCAAAAAGCGCTTTTTTCCGCTGAATGGCTGAATCGCGCTTGGTGTGACCGCGGCCATAGACGCGTACCTAGGCAAAAACCGTTATGCCAGCATCTGTACCACATAAAATCTGTGATCACTTTGTGCATAAATTTTTCCAAATTGGGCGTCTGTTATCCAATCCTTTAGAAACTATATGAGAGTAATTGTGGAGCGATCCTGAGCAATATTCCGAAAACTATTCTCAAAAAGGTCCAGCCAAATTTGAAATATTTCAAAAACCCTACGCGTCTATAGTTTTGAAATGCACTGTAGTATACCGGTGACGGTGCCTTGTACAATTATGCAAATGGTGCGATACCGCGCTGCATTTTAAACTATGTTAACGTGGTGTTTTTGTGGTGTCCGTGTGTCACGGGATGGAATTGCATTTACGTTCACTTATAAGCCCCTGTGCTGATTTGTGAGGGTGCGCTTATGCCCGGGTACCGGTATAGGCACATGCGCTTAAATGCCCGTCACTACGGTGTGTCTTGTTTTGTGTTTGTTTCCGCATGTCTTTCTGTAGGGTTGTGTTCTTTAATAGTAAAAAAAAAGTTTTAATAACGTAGTGCATCAACCGATCAACTGTCTTTGCCGCCAGTGGTCACCTTGGCTGCAGTGATTTGTGTATTGCTGAAGAAGGATGCACGAGTGGAATTCGAACCCAGCACCCCTGTCTGTCCGGGACAGTGCCCTACCGATTAGGCTACCGGGAATCACACACACCCGTGGCTCCTTCTTGCTACACTTGCAATCCTGTTCTTGCAACACACCGGGTAAAACAGCCGTTTATCGTACACGTGTTTGTCACGACGGCTTTCCATGTGTGTGCGTAGCAGGGAGTCACAGTATCAAAGACGGCGACGCAAGATCATGGTCGCCGGAACGATGTGCGTTTCGACCCCCCCCCCCCGGTCCCGTTGTTGTGGATGGTCTGGGGCTCTGTGTGCAGCTGGTGATCCCGTTCCCCGACCGCGGACTGGAATTGATGACCTGTAGACCAGTAGATTCGGGCTCGGGCCAGCGCGTGTGTGTTTCTGTCTATCTGTCTACATATTCATTTATCCCAAGCCTAGACTTGCCACTGCTCTTGCTTATGTATGCATATTGTCACAATTTGTGTGTGTGCACGTGTGTACAATTTCCATGCGTGCGTCTGTGCTGGTTTGTCTTGTTCAGAACGCGGTGCAGAATCCCGTGGACGCGCGTGCCGAGGAGAAACGCTACGATCGGTGTAGAGAGCGCAAGGCACGCAACTTGGCCTCCCACAAGACGCTCGCGCATCTTGCGCTCGGGCCGCAGGCCGATCGAGACAAGATCTTGGCCGAGGAGACGCTGCTTCTGGATGAAATGGAGGCCAAGTGAGGACACCAACACCATCGACCAGCATCGTACAGACAGTCACAGTGGCCCGACTGGCAGTGCATGCATGCATGGATACACCATGATGTCATTGTGTGTGTGTGTGTGTGCACGTGATGTCATTGTGTGTGCATATGCTGTCATTGTGTGTGTGCCATGATGTCATTGTGTGCATGTGATGTCATTGTGTGTATGCCATGATGTCATTGTGTGCATGTGCCGCAAGAGGCAGAGTACGCAACATCCGCCTCTGAAGGGGATGTTATTATTTATTGATTGCCACGTGCCCAGACTGGGGCGAGCAGACCATCTGTTGGGTAACAGTTCGATGCAAGCCATCATTTGGACTGGCCGCATGTCGACATGTCGCTTGATGCTGTACTACCCAGATGACGTCATAGTTGGCCCCACAACATGATGCCATGCCACGGAGATGATGTAATCACTGGTCGCCATAAGTCTAAGTAGCTCCGGTAGTGCCTTTGCTTACTGCTAACGTTACTGAGTCCTGATCTATGTGCCTGGCAACGGTGCACGCTGCTGCTGCTGCTGCTGCTGCTGTGCTTTGCTCAACGGCGTCTAGTTTACACACTGCTGCGCTAGATGCGTGTGCTCCTCGTGCCGGTGGCTTCGTTGCTGCCAAGGGCGACATCCGTTGCTCTCCGAGTTGTAACACGTTAGTCACGGCGCTGGGTCCAACGCTGGTGGTGGCAGTACTGAGTAACAATCCGCCGTGCTGTTTGTTTCGGCCCACCACCACCACCACCACGGCCACTGGCAGTATGCTGAATTACAACGGTGAATGACCGGCTGCTTCGGACCTTCGTAGTCGTTCCCGTGTTTGCTTTCTACTACTCGCTCCACTCTGTCCTGACCTTTCATGACCTATTGGATTTGCTTGGTACTGAGTATCTCTCCCCCCCCCCCCCCCCCCCCCACACACACACACGCATAACAGGAATCGTACCCAAAGTTAACCTTGGCAGTAAAATGCTGCGCCCCCTTTTTTTTTTAGTTCTTCTAGTCATTCTTTACTTTGTACAGTGCGAGAGTGTGAGCGTCAACCAGGGCATTGACGACTCCCTTGCGTCAACTAACCGTAAGCTTGTAAGCCAGTGCTGGATTCCGGTGTGTGCGAACATCCACAACTCGTGTACGCTGGCGGATATGACATTATTCACCGGATATGACATTATTCACTGGTTTGAGGGAAAGACGCAAACGGGAAAACTATTACAGTCAACTGTGCGCATAACGACACTCGGCGGCGGGGCATCAGAAAAGTGTCCTTATTCGCGAAAGTGTCCGTATACCCGAAGTCTCATTATATTATGTGTTACAGTTAGATGGGACTTTGCTCTGGGCATGGAAATTCTGTCCTTATTCGCGAATTGTCGTCATATCCGCAGTCGTCACAAGCGAAGTTGACTGATTGTACTTGACTATGACCAGGGAGTCGTAAAATACGGGTATTTTACGACTCTCTGACTATGGCCACTGTCAGGAGTACATAACCATGATACCCCCCAGAATGTGCAACTCCCACATACCCTGCTGTGCCTACAGAATTTTAACTTGATGTCATTATTAAATAAATAATATTTAAATGATGCAATGCAGCTTTCCCCAGTGATTTACAACATAATTATGTAAACACATCACACGTTTTTCTTTGCAACAACTACTTGTACAGGATCAGATGGGCTTCGGTCCACAACAGGTTTCGGATTCGTCTGATAATCCGTGTAGTTCCGCATTGCATCATCAAAATGCTATCAACTTGAAATTCTGTCGGGACAGCACCCATAGCAAGAGTACATGACTGTACTCTTGCCCATAGTCGATCGAGTTGCACACTCTTGGTGGTTATGTACTCTTGCCATGGCATGGGTGGCATTTCGGATGCCGCCCTGCTAGTGCCAGGTTGACGTCATTTTTATGATGCCATATGCGCCATGCGCAATGTACACATTATTATTATCAGACGTGTCCTGATTAGACATAGCCCGATTTTGCTAGCAATTCTGCTGGCAAAATATCGAAGAAATTTGACTAGAGAATTTGCTAGCAAAACGGAGCAAAATATCGGTATGTTCGCTGGAAATTGGGAGATTTTACACTTATACGGTGCTTGCGACTCATTTTCGCACAGTTTTAACAACACGTGACTCATTTTTTCTCATTTTGCCAACACGTGACCCACTTTCGGTCAGTTTTCCTACACGTGACCCAAATTTGACCTTGCATTGGAGCAAAAAGGGAGCAAAATATTGAGTGACCTGGCAAAATGAAAGCAAAATATCGACGATGAGTGAGCAAAATGTTGCGGCAAAATATCCAAGTTTCCCTGGCAAAATCGGGCTTTGCCTAGTCCTGATTCCTGAACCCGTGGTACATGGTGGACACAACTCCATTTGATCCTGTACAAGCTACGTAGTGCAAAGCGAAAGTCACGTGATGCACGGTCATAAATTACTGCATGGTGCAAGGAGCATTGTACAACAGTAATATAAGAATACCATCAACTACACAATTCTGTCAGGACAGCTATAGCAGGGATTGCGTGAGAAAATGACATCAACCTGAAATTCGGCTGGGACAGCAGGGTTTGCGTGAGTTGCACACTCATGCAGGAGGGGTTATGTACTCTTGGCGGAAAAGGAAAGGGTTCAGAAAAAGGCACACACACACCAACGCTCAAGCTACACAGATGATAGCGAGCAAAGTTAGACATTGGCAACTTGTGCTGACACATGCACGCACACATGCACACACACCATCGCTCAAGCTACACAGATGATAGCGAGCAAAGTTAAACATTGGCAACTTGTGCTGACACATGCACGCACACATACACACACATACACACACACAAACACAGACACACACACAGCGCATATTCTACTTGTACAACAAGAAACGTCGCGGCAACTGCCCGGGCACAAGTACTAGCAGCTTTTAACGAGGTGGCAGCAATTTGTTACGTCGCCTTTAATACGCAAAACACATCAAGCTGCTAGACAGTAGCGTCTGACTATCACATCGCATACCGCCAGCACCACTCCCCCAGGGAGTAGTATATTTACTACTCTCTGGCTACTAGAATCCTAAAGCAAAGAGACAAACTAGAAAACCTACAAACAAACAATTACACGCACCACCGACATTCGGTGATGGCAACGCGGGTGCGGAGTGAGCAGCGCAAGAAAGAACAAACACCAAAACTGGAGAAAAAAAGGAGTCTTGTGTTCGGGGAAGGGGGAGAGGAACACTACGATAAAAAAATATAATTGCGCCCAAGGACGCGTGAGAAAACGCCCAAGGCTGCGTGAGAAAACGCTAATGGCCGCGTGAGAAAAAAAGAAGAAGCTATTCCTGTCGAGGTCATAGTCTGTGAACACGGAGGACGCGGACACAACAACGATAAGGAAGATTAGAATACTAAAAGGGAAAATATAATAGTGATGGCCAGACACTGATACAGTCACAATAGTTGCCTGTTGAAAAGCTGAGCCGAACACACGGGGTAAGGTCCTTCTGGGCTGTGTGTGCACACAAGTGTGCTGTGGTAGCGTACGCCGAAGCAATATGACATCCAAAGCGCTGCACAATATCCCCCTACTTGCCGAGTCGATCAGGAATGGGCCAAAAAAAGGGCAGGAAATAAATAATCCCGTATTTGGAAATAGTGTTTGCGGTAATGACGCCGTACGCTTGTCTGACAGGTCAGTTTAGAATTGAAGCAAAGGGTTGCCGGAGAGACGGAAACCCTCGGGACTATAGCTGAGTACAAGAAACAGTAGCAAAAGCGAGCGAGCGGGAGCGGGAAATTCAGCCGCGAACCGAGTGGTCCTCGAAGCCAGCCGTCGACCTGGCATGGTGTGCGTGTTGTGAGGAGCAGGGGATGAGAGACTTATGATGGCACAATTACTATTGTACATTGCTTAGTTGAGAATGCGCACACATGTGTGTGAATGAGTGGGTATAATTGTGTGTGTTGGGGGGGGGGGGGGGGGAGCTCAGAAAATTAAGCACAGGCAATGACAATCACGCCGGAACCGAACAGACAAGAAACGAGCGCTGCATCCACTGGCAACACCGAGTAAGAGTGAGAGTGGGTGTGCGTGACAGGGACACACGGACGGACACGATGACATTGCAACAACGGGCACGCTGCTGTGGGATGGTATGGTCACAGCACAAACAGAATAACGCGCCGGGGCCAACATGAACAAGAAGAAAGGGGGCCACAGGAACCACAACCAAACGGTTGTAGACCAGAGTTGTGGAGTTCTAGTGCCTGGCATGAGTGCAGATGTGTGAGATGTCACGGTCGCGGCACACACGCACACAACAACGCAGGCAACAGGAACAGGAATGTACGTCGTAACCATGGCAGCGTGCTCGGAGAGCAGAGCACACCCATCGATCGTTTGAGCTCCAGCTCCAGTAGCAGTTCCAGCGTGCAGATGTGCACCACAAGGCAGTCAGCTGCTGCATGCCCACACGCAACGACTGCGGCCGGGCGTACGTCACGAAAACAGCTAGGACGCGTTGAACGAGCACGCACACGGCACACATCAGACAGGACTCTGGTAAAAGCGGCACCACTCACTCACTCGCTACCCCTGGCGAGATTGTAATGACACGCACACAGACACGTCAGATTTTCACTCACTATGCATAGTACAGGCTATGCGGCGATGTCGAAGACACGAACACACGCTCGCACACAGCACTACTGTTCGGCCGCGGACCACAAATCAAGCATGTCATCTGGCCACTGCTGGCCTTCCTTGGCCTCCCAGTAGCCACCGCGGTACTTGTGTATGACGCGTCCACTCAGCTCGTCGTCGACGGCTTCAAACCAGCGGGGCTGGTAGCGTGCCGCTACGGCCTCGTCTGTACGCCCGCCGCTCTCCAGCTCGGCTATGTGTGCCTCGCGCTGACGCCGTCGAGCACGCTGAATAGAGATAGATACACAAACGGATACACACATGCACACGGATATACACACAGACAGACATATAGACGCGCACATGTACACACACATAATTATAGACAGACAAACAGACACAGAGACACACACAGAGAGGAAACCCCAAGGGTGAGCCGCCGCAGTGATTTCAATAACACAGGCATAAGAACATGAACGAAAATTCAGCACATTCTCTCAGCAAACCACTGAAACAGCTCAAACACACACACACACACACACACACACACACACACACACACACACACTTACTTGTACTTGCTCACTGCCAAAACTGGTCACGTGGGTCTCCCCGGGAGAGGGGAGAGAGACTCAAAAGGAATCTTGGAAAGATGACTCAATTGGCCATTGAACCACCCAACGGCCGACACCCCCTGAAATCCCCAAACTAGGGTGGATTTGAAATGATCCCACTTATGGGCTCACCACACCTCAGTAAGTGGGTGAGGACAAGGTGCGGAAAAAGGATTGACGGCATCAGGGTATCCGCACACACACACACACACACACACACACACACACACACACACACACACACACACACACACACACACACACACACACACACACACACACACACACACACACACACACACACACACACACACACACACACACACACACATCCACAAACACACGTATACCTGTCCGTCCTCCAGCTTGACCTTGACAATGTTGGCCCGCTCGAAATCTCCTTGCTCCATGAGCCGCTGATCTGGCCGGTGTCTGGCATCGGTGGGTGCTGTGCCCACCTCCACAGGATCATTCATAGCACATGCCATGTCACAGAAACCATATCTACGATCGTGACCATCACTACAAACAAATACACACATACACACACACACGGGCAAGCGCGTACACACACACACACACACACACACACACACACACACACACACACACACACACACACACAACAGCAACAGCATTAAAAAGAGCAAACTTCGTTTCAGGTCTAGAGGGCGAAAAGTGGTTCTCGAGCCGTGCCATCTACAGAGATCTCCTCAATGTCAGAGCAATGACCTGTTACTGCAAATAGAGATACCCAACGTTTATTCGACTTTGAAAAGTAATGGTATAAAAGGCCTAGTCGAAACTATAATAGGCTTCTGTGCTTCTTGTGCTAGAGATATGCAGATGAACACACTAAAGAGTGCACAGACGGGATACCGTACAGGCAGAACATTTAGTGGGTCAATAATTTCGTCGAACTCCAAAGAAAGGGAGTTTGTCCGGTTGAATATTTAGTCCATGGACAATAAGATTGTATTGAAAAGCTGGAGAAATCGACTTTTCTCGTTTGCATCTTTCCCTCAAACCAGTGAATAAACCGACAGTCCGGGATTTCATTTAGTTCAACAGCTCCTTGGACGAAACAAAATTCACGGTCTGGGTGAGACTCGGCCAAAGGCCCAGTTTTCCGCATCCGCAGGAACGCCACCACCCTCTTGGATCAAGACGAAAATAAATTCCAGACGAGTATTTCTGCTTGTACAGTATGGCGATGCTTACCTGACGGGTCCCTTCTGCCAGGCGAGCTGCGCAGGGCCGAGCTGTGTGCTGGGCGTCTTGCCTACGACGCCGGGACCGCCGGGCGCCTGGCTGCCAAGCACCTTCTGGTACTCCATGCGATTGTCCCAGGTTCCGGACAGGTGATAGCGCGCCACCTTGTTGGAGTCGTACACCACACCGGTCACCTGAACAGACAAACACCAGGACAAGCAACTACACTCAGACCTCGGTTACTGTAAAGCGACAAGCTTTCGCGGCGCGCAAATTTAGCTTTTTCATGAATTGGGCTGGTTCACGATGAGAAACTTTCGCGATTCTATCTCTTCAGTCGGATCTTGGACTGTCTACAATCAATGCACGGAGAGGTTTGCGGCGATTTATATTCGCGAATGTGTGATGGTCGCGAAAATAGCGAAAGTTAATCTCTAGCGAAAGTTTCTCACTTTACAGTATCCGGACAGCGAAGATACGGGCAAGTCGGTCTACCGGGCACCTTTTGGGCCAGTTTCAGTGGAAATATTACTGCTCTTTGTCACTTGTTGTGGAAATAGGACGTCACATGCCATATCTATGGCCTTTCCCCATCAAAATGTATATGATTCGGAGATACGGACATTTCAAAGTTACAGGCAGTGCCCAGTCCACGCCTCAAAGCGTCAAAGTATTCTACCCCCCCTCCCCACACACACATGTTCATTGCCGACGCGACGATAGCGAACAAGCTACGTTAGACAAAGCAACTACTGTACAAGCAGAAATATTCGTCTGGAATTTAATTTCGTCTTTTTCGTCCAACGAGCTGTTGGACTAAATTAAATGCCGGACTAATATCGATTTGTCCAGCTTTTCAATACACTCTTATGATCCATGGACGAAATTTACAACCGGACGAACTCCCTTTCTTTGGAGTTGGACGAAATTATTGACCGACGAAATTTTCTGCTTATACAGTAAGTTATTTCCCGAACACACAGCCACAGCAGCTTACCCTGCGCGGCAGCTCCTTGGAGAAGTAGCTGTACGGGTAATACTTGAGGTGGCAGTAATCACCCGTCTTGTGATTGACAATGGTGGCCTCACCGGACTGATCCACCCACAGCTTACCGACGATGATGTTGTGAATGGTGGTGGTCACCTTACTGCAGGTGTAGTGATTGCCCGAGCCGCGGAACATCAGGTGCGCGATGCCCTGCGGCAGGATCTGCAGGTACTTGCCGCGGAACTTGCTGCTCATCGTGTAATCCTGCCAGTACTGCCAGTCGCACGTCTCCGCGTGCATGGCCGACGCCGGCGGATGGTGCGATACCTGTGAGTGCACGAGAGTGCGCGCGTGTGCAGTGACGGCAGGGAAAGAACGGCAATGCGTCAAGCATCCAATTACCGTATTCACGCGCATAGAAGCTCTCTCTCTCTCTCTCTCTCTCTCTCTCCCTCTCTCTCTCTCTCTCTCTCTCTCTCTCTCCCTCTCTCCCTCCCTCTCTCTCTCTCTCTCTCTCTCTCTCTCTCTCTCTCTCTCTCTCTCTCTCTCTCTCTCTCTCTCTCTCTCTCTCTCTCTCTCTCTCTGTCTGTCTGTCTGTCTGTCCGTCTGTCTGTCTGTCTGTCTCTAAACAGAATTCACATTTCCCGTATCACTGTACTGGTGATGACAAAACTCATTCTGGAATTACGAAGTATTGAAAGGTGTTACCGAAGCCCATGGGTGTATATGTGCGTGAATACGGTATGTCTCCTTGCTAGTCCCAGAAAATCTTAATTATCCAAATGATAACACACTGGCTGGGGAAAATGTCATGTGACTCGCATATCTGTCTCTCTATGTCTGTATTTCTCTCATTCGAACTGCTGAGTACTTACACTGGATGAGCTCCCCCCCACACACACACACATACCGCAGTGTCTTGTATTAAAGCCTGTCTCACATAGAAGCATGGTTTGCAAGATACACTGTCGGCACATCAGCCTGGTTTTAGTGTTGACATACATAGAAATACCTGGTTTGAATAGAAGCCTGCAACCCCCCCCCCCCCCCCCCAAGTCACATAAGCCGCGGCTTTTATACACGACTTGACGGCATACCCAATGAGATTGCTGTCTTTGGCTTTACTCTGTGTGTACATTAGCGGTGCAGTACCAGTAGTAGATTACCGAGCACATGTGAACTCACCTGTTCGCAGAGGCATCTCCAGCCGAGGTCGGCGGTGCGATCGAACTCATACGTTTCGCCGAGCATCGGGTTGAACGGCTTGCCTGTACGATACGCCTAATAGGAACAACGCACCATACAAGAACACACACACACACACACACAAATACATGTACACACACACATTCTTCAAGGTTACAACGACTACAATCAAAAGGTCAAGACATGAGCCACCCATCTGACAACACCCCCCCACAATCACTCACACACCATTGCCAGCAGCAGCATCACACACACACACACACACACACACAGGCACACACACCCAAGATGCACACTGTGTAGTAGTATTTTCTTTCTCACCGTGCTGCTGTACGTGGAGACGGTGAAGGCCGCCACCAGGGCTAATTGCTCGCATGCATCCTCACAGGCTGCCGCCTTAGTCAGTATGTCAGAGTACTCCAGTTCTACCTCACACAGACGCTGCAGGAAGGACAACGGCTCGTTGAAATTCACCTGTGCAGAGCACAAGACAACGGTAAAGAAAGTAGTGTACAGAAAGTCAATGGGCTTACATTCGCCATGCAACAGTGTGGATGTTCCTAGCGAGAAAATGCGAGAGGAGAGAAAGAGACAGACAGACAGTGTGTATGTGTGAGAGAGAGAGAGAGAGAGAGAGAGAGAGAGTTAGAGAGTGAGGGAGAGAGAGAGTGTGTGTGTGCGTGTGTGAGAGAGAGAGAGAGAGAGAGAGAGAGAGAGTGTGTGTGTGTGCGTGTGTGTGAGAGAGAGAGAGAGAGACAGAGAGAGAGAGGGAGAGAGAGAAAGGAGAGAGGGAGGGAGAGAGAGAGACACACACACACTCACCGGCATGGGTATTTTGGAGAGGTCGCGGCCGATACAGTTCTTCATAATGCCCCACAAACTCATGCGATGATTGGGCTTGTCGGCGATGAGTGTGCGATACTGGCGTGACTTCTTAGCATCCGTCGCAGGCTACACAATGTAACAAAAACAGAACAGAAAGAGTACAAGAACAATAGCAGAAATGAACACATCAAAGACAGAATCAAGAAGCGTTCCAAAACAAACCCTCAATGATTCAAAGCATTCAAGTTATAAATAATCATTTAGGGGCCGTCCAAGGTTACCAATAGTATTTTCAAAACAAAAAGTTTTCGTTTGGGGGTGGGTGGGTTTGAAGGAGTTTCGTTTTGAAAATAATTATTGAATGCAGATGGAGAATGCCCTGTTACTTCTGGTTGTCGAAAATTGACATCAATATTTTATTGGAATTCGTTTTGCCTGCAGAAAAGGTAGGTGGGTGGGTGGGTACTGAAACATACTAAAACTTTTCCTTTTGCAATAACTATCGGTAACCGCGGACTTAGCTGAATTGGTTACATGCTATGAGTACTAATTTGTCCCTACAGGGGTGTTTTGCAGTCCCAAACCTCGGGCACTGCACACTTTCCCCCGTTCTCTGATAGGGTCATGCAATCACCGGGGCTTCAATCTATCCAAACACCTCTGCACAGCCAACAGCTATCCATCCAACATAGCTACAGTAGGTATCGGTTTAATACAGCGTGGGTGTTTGAAAAACGACTTTCTATTCTTATTTCCGATATTTCTTATACACACGATAAATCGAGTGTGACAAATCATATGCATGTGCGCAGAGGCAGGAAGATCATCGTAAGTGCAACGTAGTGCTACTGTGCATGCGGCTGGTCATAGTCCCATACTAGGGCCATAGGCTTAGGTTTTTTGAAATCACGTATCTATATTTTCGAAACGCACTGTACATTTATCTAATCGAGCCTAATGTGTAACTCCTCGGTCATTTTCTTTTCTATAAAATACGATAATCCATGCAAGTCTACCCCATTTTAATTCGTTTTTTAGATTAAAAAAAGGTCGACTTGTAAGTTGAAACCGGTAAGATACGGTACATGCACACAGATTCACACAGACGTACCAGCCTCGGCCACCCGACTGGTGGCTGCATGGAGGCGCGCCGTTCGTCCACAACCGCTGCGGCCGTGATTTCACCGCTCGTTGCGCTGGTGCTGGAGTTAGCAGAGCCGGGCCGTCCGAACGGCACCTTGGCATGGGCACCGGGGACTGGACGCAACATAGGGACAGATACACACACACAGGCACACATACACACCGACCAGCGCAATACAGCAGTACTGAAACCCAGGAATCTAGGAGCAAGTCAGAACTGCACACAGGCACACATATGCCCTTCGCCCTTCACACCCATCAACACACAAACACAGAGACATCCACAGAGAGAGAGAGAGACACACACACACACGCACACACACATACGTACACACACACGCAAACACACACACGCAAACACACACACACACACCATTGGACCATTGGACGCCCATCGCCAGAGGCGATGATAGCGATGATAGCGATGCTACAGCAGAAGCCATAGCAGCTTGTGCTGGGATTGCACCATTCAACAGCTTGCAAGGCTGAAGAATTGACCGCCACTATTCAGCCTGGTCTACACCACACAGCTATGAAGTGGTTTTTTCTGGCCAGTGAATCCCTACTTTTGGGTCTTTTTAATTTTTTCCTTCATTTTTTCTTTTTTTTCACGCACACAGATCACACCACATACTCCCCCCCCCCCCCCCACACACACACACGAGTATTCAATGTGTTCAGCTAACCTGGTGACCTGCTTGCTAGGCTCTCTTCTGCATCGAAAAACTGATCGTCACCGTCTTCATCTGACTGTGAACAATGGAGCAGAGAAGAGAAAAAGAAAATGGCAAGGGTAGGATAAACAAGCAGTACTGAACAGGAACACACTGGGAGGTGCAATACACACTTGTACACACGTACTATGCTGTACACACGCATACAACCACACACCCACACCTGTACACATACCCAAGCCTCCCACACCCACACACAGACATGCATACACCCACACCCACACACCTACATTATATGTAGGACTCAGCAGCCCAGCAATCCCCTATATGTGGTCATTGCTCTATATATGGTCAAATTGTTCACAGATCGCTATACATGGTCACTCTATATTATGTGGTCACATGCAATGTGCCTTGTCTATATATGGGAACAATAACATGGCAGACAGCACACACATGCACCTATAATTGGCCACTCTAGATGTGGTCAACTGCTAACTGAAATCGTACTAGTCATTGTATGTGGTCACAACTCAGAGATATAGTGACCATATATAGAGCTGTGACCATATATAGAGACGTGACCATAATTATACTGAGTGTAACACATATACACGTACACCCACCCACCTACATACACACACCTACTCACGCATACACCCACACACCTACACACGCATACACCCACACACCTACACACGCATACACCCACACACCTACACACGCATACACCCACACACCTACACACCCACACACTGAATAATGCCAGCTACACAACAGTAGTAGTAGTGTGTATTTCCGAGCTACAGAAGAGTTTGAGGTACAAAAAACCTACTTGAGAGATAGGTGCGTGCACAAGTATTCAAGTCATACATGTAGAGGCAAAGAAAGTGTGCGTGCGTGCGTGCGGGGGGGGGGGGGGGGAGAGAGAGAGAGAGAGAGAGAGAGAGAGAGAGAGAGAGAGAGAGAGAGAGAGAGAGAGAGAGAGAGAGAGAGAGAGAGACAGCCAGAGAGACAGCCAGACAGACATACAGACAAAGAGAGCATGCCATCTCGCTTACACTGGCACGTCCGTCGTAGTCCGACATCATTGACGACTTGCCCGACGCCGCGGAATCGTTACGACGGTGCTGCTGCTGCTGCTGCTCCAGTTCGCTGGGCTGCTGACTGTCCTCTGAGCCACTCAAGAAGGCACTACCGTCCGCACAACTGTCTCCACTGCTCACAACACTAGCACCAGCGGCAATTGCATCAATCTCATCACGTGTTGCCGAGGAGCTAGGTCGACTCACGCGCTTCTTCACGGCCCGCTCCAGCGCGTTGTGCTGCTTGGCGATCGTCTCAACGGCCTCCTCGAGGCGCTGGCGTTTCTCGCGCTCAGAGTTCAGCTCTTCGGTGACGGTTTCCTGATGTGTCTGCGCTGCGCTCATAAAGTTTTCACAAGCCTGCAAGGTAGCATACACAGATACCAGGAAGCAAGAATACAGAACCATAGCACACACACACACACACACACACGCACACAGACACACAGACACACAGATACACACACACACACACACACACATAGTGTGAGCGAGAGACAAGCAACGGGGACTCGAGGCACTGTGCATGTACCACCTCCTCTCTTGTGTCAAGAAAACTACAACGTTACCACAGAAGACGTTTGTGCAGGTGTGTTGTGATGGGTTCACTGTTTAATGTGTGGTGTGGTGTAGTGTGTGTGCATGCTTCTTTCGCGACGGGCGTACATGGTACATGGCACATTGTTTGAGGGTGTAGATAGGCAGACTAAAATATACAGTTAGAGGGTTGAACAAATTACACACAAACGTTGAGAGATAAATAAACTGGTAGATGGGATTAATTGTAGATGGGTAGTTGAACAAAACGCTCGCAAAAAATCTATGCCTGAACCTACGGTGCTGCTCAATGAAATCCAGTCGCGTCACTCAACCATGTCACAACCCAGTGCCTACAGGTCTAGGGCTGCGCAACGCCCGGCGTGCACTTGAGTGACACGGCTAGATTTCAATCCTTTCATCGAGCATCACTGTAGCCTTCACGTCTGTGTGTTTCTGAACATTCAAGTGATGCCAACGCGGATCCCGCGAATATTATGATATTATTATTTTATCACTGTACATGTAGCTGGGAGTTCAGTAAAACTCCCCAGATCCAGACCCTCCCTAATACGGGCACGTCAGTCTACCACGTTTGTGTGTTTCTGAACATTCAAGTGATACCAACGCGGATCCCGCGAATATTAATTTTTTATTATTATTTATCACTGTACATGTAGCTGGGAGTTCAGTAAAACTCCCCAGATCCAGACTCTCCCTAATACGGGCACATGCGTCTACAGGGTACCTTTCTGACACATCTAGAGTCATAAAAAAATGACTTTTCCACGAAAAACGGCTCCCAAAACAGTCATATTGACTAGCAGAACATCTTTACTTGCATGCACTAGTATGGAAGTTCTGAGTTACATGCAATTCCTAGTCACGGGCAGTCCTCCTTCCCAGCCTGCCCCCATCTGGGGAGTTTTTGCTGTACTCACTGACATAAGCGCCGTGGTGGAGACTTTGACGAGGGTGGCCTTCTCGTGCGCCGACTTCAGCTGTGCAAACGCGGTTGCCAGGGCGACGTCGCCGTTGCCACCGTTACGACCAGCAGCAGCACCAGCACCACCGGGACTGTTACGCTGTGCGGCCTGCAGGTCCGGGGAGATGTCGCTGACGTCCCGTTGAAGGTCCACGCCGCGGCGATAGAGCAGCGTGGAGCAGGCGGTGAGCTCCTCCAACTTGCTAGACAGGTCGCGCAGGCTGGACTGAGAATCGAGAACTACGCACCAAACGTACACGCGCACGCACACATGCACGAGCAGACAGATGCACAGAAAAGCGCAAACAATCAAACGCCGTCTACGCCCAAAGACATTGCTTACCGGTAGTTGAACACGCTTTGACAATAAAAATTCACACAAGAAACTCTGGAGAGATGAGAGAAAGTGGACATTCAAAGCCACTACATTATCAGCACAACACGTATACTAGCAGTTACAAATCTGTTCAGGCTGATTGGCCGTAGTTGCTTGAATCAAACATTCTAATAGTAATACAATACTACAGATTACTGTAGTATTGTACTGGCCTTTTGCCCTTATATCGAAAATATTGAGCACCTACCTAAAATTTCTGAAATTAGAGTTACTGATGTAGGTCTTACCAGGGGAGGAAGGATCTGACCAGCCAACACCACTGGCACTATGTTCTGTGCGTGCAGAAAGAAAGGAAAGGACAAGGAGAGTCAAATATCGTCGAGGAGAGAGAGCAGTGTGTGTGTGTGTGTGTGTGTGTGTGCGCGTGTGTGTGTGTGTGTGTGTGTGTGCGCGTGTGTGTACATGTGCGTGTGCGTTGAGTAAAATGCTACATGGCCATTGGCCAATACGAACTGGACAAACAAAATGCCGATAATTCTCAAGAGAGCATATCTCAAGTTCAAGGTACATATGTATCAATGCTACCACCGACTGCACTCCACACAAACACACACACACACACACACACAAACACACACACAGTGCAACAGACACCACTCCACAGACTACATGTACCATATACGGCAGTAACGACCAAATACGGTCTGGACGAGTGAGGGCAGAGTACTGTACATACCAGGGGCGTGCTCGGCCCCCCAACTAGGGGGGTGCACGGGAGCCGAGGGGAGCCCCCCCCCCGCCAATTTTCTGCAATTTGTTTGCAACCTTTCTTGAATTTTAGAGCATATTTGCATACATTACAATTGCAATTACCCAGATTGAAAATTTTTGGGGGGTGCACGTGCCCCCCGTGCCCATCGCCGAGCACGCGCCTGCATACAATGACACGTATCGCTGAGCTGGAGACGCAAAAAGGTCACTGTAATCGTTAAACGGATCTTTGGGAAACACTTGCCACAAGACTTGGACAACAGATAGTTGTGACGAAAGTGGTAAAACTCGACCTGCCGTTGCACACAAGGCTGTTATAGCCAAACGTAGTAGCAGCACATGCATCCAGGACGGCAGGAGTGGTAGTACTGCATCGCTGTACACACACTAGTGCTGTTAGCGTGAGGTGTGGCAAGCATATGTACACGCAGGGCTGTTACAACTACCGTATTTCCCCCGATTGTCAGTCGCACTCCTATTTCCAGGTCCATGTCATGTCGTTTCAATACATTCACTTCAGTAGCAACAAATCACGCTCGATTGTGAGTCGCACTCCCTTTGTTGGGAATGAGGTTTAGTGTAAAAAGATGCGACTTATACTACTCGGGGAAATACAGCAAACATTGTTGTAGCGCATCCACTCAGAAGCAGAAGCAGCAGTGCTGCACTGACACTCAACAGCTGCACACATACAGTAAAACCAAGAGTACATAACCCCCCAGAGTGTGCAACGCCTGATCCAGCTCTGCATGGGGTCTTGGTCGAGCGCAATCGGATCTTCTGATGTCATGCGTACACTCCACACCAGCGCAAGGCCGGTCTCGCGGCAGGGCACCGTTGTTTTTGATCCGAGAGTACCCGCGACTCCGCGACTCCCCGGGTTCCCCTCAGACGTGTACGGTATTACGACGCAAAGATCCGATTCCGCTCGACCAAGACCCTATGCAGAGCTGGATCAGGCATTGCACACTCTGGGGGGTTATGTACACTAACAGTAGAACCTGTCAAGGTGACCACTCGGGGGATACCGCGACCACCTGTCCTGGAAGACCACTAGAACCAGGATCTACGCCAAGGGATACTATTTCCAGTCAAATGACCCTGGCTAAGGAGACCACATGTTGAAGGTCGCTTGAGAAGTCGTCTTAAACAGATTTCACTGCACAGTCAGATTTCACTTAATTAACCGCACACATCCGTTTTCAACAAAATATCCGGATAGGCGAGGGAACCGGATAATCGAACACACATACTGTATGTATGCATGACATGTGCTGTAAATCGGTAACCAACGATTTTCTTCCGGATGGCGAGGGAGCCGGATTAAAGAGGACCGGATAAGCGAGGTCGGACTGTACTACTGCTAGCGTTAGCTTTAGCTGTGCCGAGTACAACACTGGTCACCAGACTTAGGTCCTCCATGGCCCTTGTCGGTAAAAACAGGAGGGGGGACTGCTTGCTTCTCGCAATGGGAGTTAGAGAAACATGTACCATGGCTGCATGGAGCATTGTTGGCGGCGAGGCTTGCTTGGAAAGAAGAAGTCTCACTCGCTCGCTCACTCACTCACTATCTCTCTCTCTCTCTCTCTCTCTCTCTCTCTCTCTCTATGTCACCTTCGCGGCTAGCCACGGCACAGACACGCACATCTCCGTAACGAGGCTGCGAAATCTGAACGCAAATCGTGTTCACGCTAGTGGCCGGCAATCGAAACACGTGCGATGGAACTCAAACAAGGATTAGGGTTTTTGTGGCGAGGCAAAGGTCAGTACAGTGGTGTGATGTGTGTATTGTATGCCGTGCATGCATAGCATGTACGCCAAGCGTTCTGGTCTTGCCATGCCCCCAAGGGGAGTCCGTGTACATGCCCCGCTGAGCACAGTACGTCACAAAGCAGGATTCGAATGAACAATCCACGCTCACACACTGAGTGCACATGAAATACTTTACAATTTTCCAAAAAAATGATTGGAGTCTGCAACAAGAAAACGGGTCTCTGTTGCAGAATGTAGCTTAGCTAGTAACACATCAACAGAGGATATTCGATATTCCCGTAGGTAGACATCTAGGATCTAGGAGTGAGCTGGGTCGTAAAAAAAATTATTCGGAACACGCCAAACCTTGCATGCTGTATTAGGGAGCATCTCATAAGTTCGCATTTTGTTTCTAAATGTAACGCATTTCGAAACGGGGGGGGGGGGGGGGGGTAGGGGGGTAGCGCCCTTTTCGAATAGAAAAATGACTGTCCGCACATTTTCTGGAACTGTACAATCTACTACCGTGCTAGATCCCTGCAGCAAATTAGTGTGTTTAGGTGGAGATCTACCTGTGTTTGCAGATCAGCTAACCCTTGCACTGCATGCATGCAGGCTACTCAGAGGTGTCAAATGTCACACCAGCCTGATCAAACCATGTACCTGGCCAGCGTTTACAGGTTTATAGCAGTACAGTTGTTGTGGAGGAACTATGTTTATGTGCGTGTACCTGTCATTGATTGTACTTGTACTCAGTAAATGCAGTACTACTGTATGCCATTCACGACCGCTCTAGCAAAACATTCATATCCATGTACATGTACATGACTGTACAATCATGTACATAAGCATACCATAGTATGGGGCATGGACGTGTACAGTAGATAAACACAGAAAATGTGCGATAAGACTTTCGAATAGAGGGGGGAGGTACTAGGTAGGGGGTAAAGTCTATTCGAAATGCGTTACGTTTGCAAAATAAATGCGAACTTTAATATGAGATGCTCCCTTAAATTACGTAAACAAGTACATTTACAACGCAAGCGCGCGAAACCGGAGGCTGACCTGAGTCACCTCACACTCACAAAGTACAGAGACAGAGAGAGCCACTTGTCGCATTGCCCACCGCTGATAAAATGATCACTTATCACTCCTTGTTGACCACTTGATTCTGCAAGGAACTTCGCCGGGTGGAGTACGCAGTGCGCAACAACCCAAAACATGTTATTTTCTGTTTTCTCCCTGCAGTGTGTTTTCTCTACTTCTCCACACACGTACACGTGAGCTGGGATAGGCGCTGCCCCCAGATACTGAGAGAGAGAGAGATAGACCAAAACTACGAAACAGCAACACAGCTTGACCTTGCCTACAGTACATGATGTAGCCATTCTCAACTCTTACTCGCACCAAACATGTTTTACTCACATTCAAATGGTAGGAAGAGAAAATAACGACAAATCCGACAGCGGCAGCACCGAGGGGTCCCTGCAAACAAGTATCTCGAACAGTTTGCGAGCTCCAAGGAGTTCGAATTATTTGTTCAGCCTAGCAGAATCACTTGAGCCTGTTGAGGTAGGAAAGGTAGGAAAGTGGCCACGACTCACGAGAATGAGGCCTGAGTGACGAGGTTCAGCATGTATCTCACTATCTGTGGACAACCCAGGCCACCACAACTTCACAAGATCTGCAGATCCACAAAAATGTGCATACATCTGGCTGTACATGTACGTAGATCTACGATGGCGTTTTTGTGTAAACTGCCGTTTCAGCTCAAAAGGCGGATCAAGCTGTCGTGCCGTGAGCCACGTGCACGTCTGCATGTTTGATGAAGATCCATGATAACAAGAGTCCATTTATGTACTCTTGATGACAATGCAGGAAAAAAGCAGATCGTTTCGGCGGCAGTTTCCAATAAAAATAATGTTTCGCTGGCCACATCATCCTCGCTTGCTCAGCGATAGCGGCGACGCCTACGAGTAGCGCCATGCGCCAGATCATGCAGAGCTGCAGGATGTAGGTAGTTGCGATTCTAGCGCACTGAGCTAACAAAATAACGTTGGCTATTGCAGCTAAGCAGATAGCGCTACGACCCTCTCGAGTAGATCTACGAGGCGGCGTAAACTACGGTAAAGCATGTCAGCCAAAGCGATGCCGATGGGCCCACGCGTGCTTTATCGGCAATGCAATGACAAAGATCAAAGATCATGGGATGCGTGTCCATAGTCGAACTCCGCTTATCTGCTACACTGTCACTGTACTACAGCTATCGTAGAGGATCTACGAAACCGTTGTCACAATAATCATAATGATAATGGCAAGCGGCGATAGATCCGGACTCGGGGCCAGTCGGACTCTTGAGTCTTCGACAACTGCTAGGAGTTGGATACAGTCATGTCAGCAAACAATGGTAAACTGAAGGCGATCAAAGACACCATTCCGACATTGATCTTTGACTTTGTATTATGGGAATACCCAATGCTGTAGACAGCAAGCTGTTTCGGCCATAAAGGCCTCATCTTATGGGAATATGGCTGAATGGCTCCGACTGTACCCTGGTCTTGGCCCTTGGCCTGGCTTGTAGTAGTTGTACCCTGGCTGAGTGTAGCCCCTAGCTACCATAGTGACGCGCATCGAAGGAAGTCAAGCCAGAAATCAAAAATTAATTCACCAGTTGTAGTCTTCGGGGTGCTGAGTCGAATGGTCTTGGACCGAGGAAGCTGAGACGCTCCGTTCCTCCTTTATTCCCAATCGAAATCGCACACTTCCATGCACCGAAACTGGGTGACTGCGCCCTACTACAATGGTAGATGGGGATTTGTATGCAAAATGTCACTAAGGGGCCGTCCGTAATTAACGATATTTATTTAGAAACGAAAACTAGTCGTTTCCGTCTTCAGTCTTCAACCCCCTCCGCTGAGAAACGAACACAATTGTCATACAAATGGTACATGGTATCAATATTTTCGTTTCTAAATAGATATCTATATTTACGGATGGCCCCTAAAAAGCGCCATTTCGTTCTTATAAAAGCACGGATGATCGCGGTTGGCCCACAGGTTGTAGTCTTTTGGACGCTGAGTCGACTGGTTTTGATCCGAGAAAGCTGCGATGCAGCGTTTCTCCTTTATTCCCAATCGAACATAGTTGACGAAGTGGTCATGTGCTCCTGCGTACACCAGTCACTTGGTCGCTGCGCCAGCAGGCGGCAACTTTCACATCAAGGTTCAACTCGAGTCCAACTCGAGTGACAGGAATGCACCCAAACAGGCTATGAGTTGTACCCTGCGGGCACGGTGACCAGGTGACTGGTGTACGCAGGAGCACGTGACCGCTTCGTCAACCATGTTCGATTGGGAATAAGGCCCGAACGCTGCATCGCAGCCTTTTCGGACCAAAACCAGTCGACTCAGCGTCCTACAGACTTGGGGGACCCAGCAACCTATAATGATACCAAGAGTCCATAACCGCAAGAGTGTGCAACTCTGTACATGGGGATCCGCGCGGCGGAATTCCAACATTACGTCAAACTGAATGACGTACACGTTCATTGCGCTTGTACTACTCCCTGGTTCCAAGCACCGCAGAATGCGGAGTTTTGTACAGCTGTGCCTCAGCTAACGTTGGAATTCCGGCGCGCAGTGGGCCTACAGCAGCCAGACACCAGTTGCACACTCTTGGGGTTATGGACTCTTGATGTTAGTTGTCTTAGAGGGTGCCCAATCCTTAAAAATAGCGTCACTTTGAAAGTAGCGCAGAACATAGGTAGAGTGTTTGTAGACCAAAATCATTTGCCCGAGACTTCAACACATTGCGCCCCGTCACTGATGTTGCGGCTCGGCTATTTCCGACATTATGACGTCCAGGTGCTGGAGAGGCGTGCAAGACTGAGGGGATGATGCGGTACCACTAGATCCGGCCATAGCCCGGGCCCAGAGTCTGCTCCAGAGCCAGGTCAGCGACCGGTTTGGAAAAAGAAGACCAGGTCACTTGTGAACCGGTTGGGGGTACTTGGACCCATTTGGAAAAAGAACACCGGGTCAACTATGACCCGATTGGTAATACTATACAGTACGCGGTTGCAATGGTTGTGCCGGCCAGCACCCTGGGCTGCTTGACCTCCGACCGGATTTCCATGTCCACCACAGTAGTATGTTTGCTTTCCGGAGCAAAGACAATACTCCCATAACCCTGGGAAGACTCCCCGCTTGCTTACTTCACAAGCATGCACGTACAGTCAACTTCGCTAATAACGACTGCGGATATAACGACAGTTCGCGAATAACAACAGAATTCCCATGCCCAAAGCAAAGTCCCATCTAGCTGAAATACATAATTATAATGAAACTTCGGGTATACGGACACTTCGCGAATAAGGACACTTTTCTGATGCCCCACCGAGTGTCGCAGGGACTAATTTAACCGGTATCGCATCGCAATTTGCGACGCAAAACACAGTGTCTGCGATTCGAAGTTCGTAGTGAGTCGCGGTAAACTGCGACACAACATACAGCTAAGTATGGCCCTGGACATAGACTTGTACTTGTAGTGCACGCGTAGCGCATGCACATGTGTAGCTTTACAGTGTCAGTGTGTGTGGCTGGTTTGGCGCCAAGAGATGGCGCGCCATGCACTGTGACTAGATTAGACTGTGTGTGTGTGGTTGTCCAGCCGGCCTGCACTAGCTGCACTGCATGTGCAGGTAGATTTTACACCATATATAATGCATAGGTCTACATGGTCTACGCACGCGCGCGGGCCGTGGGACCATGGGCATGGCCATATATGCATATGTCACACTATCTCCGCACGCGCACCGCATGCACGTGCACTTGGAAACTAACTAACTAATTATTATTTTACTTGAAGTGCAGCCCAGGAAGCACGAGGTGAGTGTCGACAAGTACTTCACCTGCTTTTGAGATTTAGACCGCGTTGCTGCACTAGCAGTAGGCGTCTCGACCGTTCAGGACTTATCTTTGTAAAATTCTGCTAGCCTTATTGATGAAGCCTCTTCACTGCCGGCATGTCTGTGAAGCAAGGTACTTTGGACAAGTGGATTGCTGAATTTGATCCCAAAAAAGAATGGATTCGCGCAGAGTCGAGTGGTGGAGCTGTGACCAAGATATTTTGCAAGATGTGCAGGGAGAAGGCGTCCTCGCTTCGTCGTTTGAGGCAGCATGGCGTTTGTTGACGGTATAAGTGGAAGTGCACTGAAGACTGCATTGTCGACGGAAAAAAACTGCTATGCAAAATTGTTGCGTTGCTATGCAAACATCGAGGTGTGTAGCAATTATTGCTATGCAATTTTTTTGAAGTAAATTAGTCCCTGTGTCGCTATACGCAAAGTTGACTATAGTAAAACCTGTCAAGGCAACCACCTGTCCTAGAAGACCACTGACACCAGGACCAGGGGATCGGCTATTTCCAGCCTATTGACCCTGGATAAGGAGACCACCTAGTAACAGAGACCACGTTTTGAAGGTCCCCTGAACTGAGCGGTCGTCTTACACAGGTTTCACTGTGTAGTGTCAACTAAAAAAGCCCGGGCCATTAAAGAGGTTTAAAAGATGCACGTTATTTCCGACGTGACGCGCAATTTCAAGTCAACTTTGGCGTGAAACTCCAAATTTCGACGAGAGCTGCAGGTCACTGCGCCCAGGAACAGAGCGCCGGAGAACGAACAGGCTAGGATCTCACCAAGCACAGCATACCAATGTAATGAATACACGGGTGGCTCAACTGTGCATAGACATGTCAGGGGGCGTCGGAAGGTATTTTAGTGTGGTATGGTCAGCCATCTGAAGTACAATTTACTCGTGGAGGAGGGGTGGTTGAGCCGAAAATTTTGGAAAATTAGAGACCATATCAGTGCGTTTTATTGATTCACGGGACGGGGTACGTGGGGCAAAAAGTGGTACGGTCAATACCGTAGTGACTGTACCGTGTCCGACACCCCTGCATGTGCAGTAGTATATGAATATAACAACGGCCTAGGCTAGGAGGCTGACCCCCCCCCCCCCCCCCCCCCAGTTCTTCGGCACCCGGCAGTCCATTCATTGGAATTCGCTGATTTCCGCCTCGAATCAGGCGCGTAGCACTGCTGTTGGAGGTGGTCCGGCTGGAAAGGGGAGGGGGGGGGGGGGTCCGGGGTCTCCCCGTGAAAATGTTGAAATTTGGGTGCAAAATCCTGCACTCTGGGCACTTTTGGCATTGTGTAACGCTCTCGGGTCTATCAACAACTCGTAATAACGACCCTGGGTGTTACAGCAACTTAACCAACAAAATCTCTAGACGTAGTGACCATTTTACTGCATGCGCTCGACCTCACGATACACGACAACTCACGGATACTGGCACTTTTTCATGCACAGTCGAGGGTCGTTACTCACGAGGTTGACTGTACGTGGGAAATACCAGGGTGCCGATCTGTTTGGGGCGAGCGGATAGCACAGGCACACGCACGTCCGCCTCCCGTGGTGTACGAGACCTACTGCAAAACTTCCTATTTAAAGCTGGTTGCGTTTCTCAACACAATTATATAGCCAGTTGTAACGCGGACGTGCGAACTTTTTTTCTGTTTTCAAGACCTGCCCAAGTCGAGTTGCCCGATAGCCTTGCCCTTCGCCAGCTCCAGACAGGTGTTGGATGAGTGGATAGTACAGTGCCGGCCACTGAGAGAAATCCAACCTCATGAACAAAGTAGCACCGCGTTCGAGTGCACAGACCAGTACGTGTGTGTGTGTGTGTGTGTGTGTGTGTGTGTGTGTGTGTGTGTGTGTGTGTGTGTGTGTGTGTGTGTGTGTGTGTGTGTGTGTGTGTGAGACCAAAAAGTAGGGATTCACTGGCCAGAAAAAGTCACTTCATAGCTGTGTGGTGTAGACCAGGCTGAATAGTGGCAGTCAATTCTTCAGCCTTGCAAGTTGTTGAATGGTGCAATCCCAGCACAAGCTGCTATGGCTTCTGCTGTAGCATCGCTATCATCGCCTTCGGCGATGGGCGTCCAATGGTCCAATGGTGTGTGTGTGTGTGTGTGTGTGTGTGTGTGTGTGTGTGTGTGTGTGTGTGTGTGTGTGTGTGTGTGTGTGTGTAGTGCTAGGGCTTCACTAGCGCCCGGCAATGCCATTCTATTCATGAGGTTGGATTGCGTTGGCCAGAACTCTACTAGCATCATATCTTCAAGAACGACTCAATCACACAGTACCACTGTTGTGGACATGGAAATCCGGTCGCACGTCTAGCGCCCCCAAGGCGCTGGCCATGAGCGGTACGCACATGCATTTATGTGTTGTAGCGCGTTGGTCGCATCGGATCAACATGTGCGGTGCATTGTCGTTCTGCATGCGCTGAGGGCGCCAGCCCCGGTCAATCGACTGGATTTCCATGTCCGCTACAGCAGTAGCTGATCAGTGTACGGGAGGAGCTCTGTTACGGAGCTCAAATGCATTCATTGTAGTTGTTCAAGGATTCGCCTAGTACTGTAGATGCACGCTCACGCCCCGGCCTCTTGTACAGTAGTCTACAAGACCTACCCAAGTCTAGCTGCTTGATAGCCTTGGCCTTGGCCAGCTCCAGGGCGGTGACCCAGCGTTGGCGTTCCAGCGCGCTCGGTGCTCGCAGGTAGAACTGCTGCGCGCCGCCGTTGGAGATGACGAAGTTCATCGTGTCCACCGTGTCGATCAGGGCGGCGGCCAGGTTGATGGTTCCGCGGCACGTGTGTGCCATCTCCTCCTGCGTCCTGCGCACGCACACACACACACGCACACACGCACACACACACACACACACACACACACACACACACACACACACATGCATGCATTCAATAGCAGCGGGAAGGCACGCAGTTACGCACATGCAGTTATAATATTACGATTACCTAGCTTGATCACATCTCTCATACTTCTGCATAAAAGAGTACTTGCGCCATCTCCTCCTGCATGCTGCACACCCACGCACGCACACATGCATGCATTGAACAGCAACAGAAAGGCACACAAATATGTACATGCAGTTATAATATTACGATTTCACATCTCTCATACTACTGCATAAAATAGTACTTTTTTTACTTGCGCCATCTCCTGCATCCTGCCGTTCTTGGTGAAAACATTCTAGGCTGGTCTTTCTTCGGCGGGCGTTCCGTTCTTCGGCGCCCGGCAGTACTGTAGTGTAATGTAGTGATGCATGCATACCGTAATGTCGCGTGCATTAGCCGGGGCTTATATGCCTATAAGCCGGTGATGGAGTCAGGCTTGTACACAAGACAGGCTTATACACGAGACAGGCTTATATGACAAGCACCACTCAATGACCAGGCTTGTATGCGCAAACTGCTGACTTTTGGACGTCAAAACCAACATTTTCCAACGGGATTTTTTTTCTTTTTTTTCGCAAGTGTACGGTACCCAGGGCATAGCTTAAGGACTTCATTTAGCTCGGACAAATGTCCTTCCGTTTTGAAATCTGTCCGGACATGCCCGGACATTTTCCACAACACATTTTCAGGGTGTTTCTCCTTTTTTTAGTAGTACTGAAGTATATTCACAATGACTCATTATGTGGACGTATCTCACACATTACTATGTACAATTCGCCAATTTATTTGTATTAGAAACTGAACTTCTTTTTTTTTACTGACGACAAATGTATGTACAAGAAAGCGTTGCAGTCAAGAATTTTGCGAACGCGATATGCTCCTTGCAGAGAAGGTAAGTCAGTTCGAATTTGCGTCGTGCAATAGCGGCAGCACCATCGTCCATCTTGCACAGAGCCTTCGCAATTGGAGCGAATTCGAGGGCATTTCGAGCGGGACACTCTTGCTTACGGAAAAGATTCATTGCTCCTTTATGCATCTCCGTTCCAGCATGATCCTTGAAGGCTGATATTCTCAGGTTCTTGAATCCGGTTATGAAAGCCTCGCTGAAGTTTTTACAACTGCGGACTCTGTCTACAAACTTGATGCACACGGAACACTTCAAACATTCAGCTAACAGCCGATCATTCTTCTGCCGGTCATAAATCAGCCACGCGGAAGTAGTCAGCTCTGCATCATTGTCCGAGATCCACTTATCGCAAGTAGCGGCCTTCACACCACGGACTTTTTTGCCCGGCAGCAAGTCCTCTGAATCTCCCTTTCGCTTTCCACAAGACATTCTAAAAGACTATCTGCATTTCTGGTCAGTGAAAGAGTGAACACTGCAGTTCAACCCATCGATTCAAGTGCGAAGTCGACACCATGACCAAAGGCAAAGGTCGAAAGTGTGAATTGACTGGTAGCAACCGGGTTGCTACAGGCGGATCAAGTAAATCTGGTGAAGTCTACGCCTGAGGCTACGGACCGGTACGGTGTAGACGTGTTAGTTGTACGATATGCAAGTCGCATTTGGCACGAAGCTCCGAAGAAAGCCCAACTCTGCATAAAAAGGTCGAAAGGCCGCTGCTCTTTTTTTCCTTTTTGACCGGACACTATGTCCGGTGAAATTCAAAACGTCCGGCCAGTGGCCGAAAATGGCCGGAAAATGTCCGATGTCCGGCCGTTAATCTATGCCCTGGTACCATGCAAACATGAACATGTAAAAGGCGCGCTCACCAGTCTTGCGTAGTAGCCCGGCTTACGCACGCGACACGTGGCGCGTCTCGTGTACTGGCCCGGCTTATGCATGCGACAGGCTTGTACGCGAAAAGCTGTTGCAGATTTCATGCTTCTACACGAGACAGGCTTATGCACAAATCCGGCTTATGCACGCGACATTACGGTATGCACTGGTGTGATCCGTGATGTAATGTAGTGATGCATGCATATGCACTGGTGTGATCCGTGATGTACTGTAAATATACAAATTTTTGGCAGCTATTTAATGTCGGCTATATTCGGCACCGACCCAAAACGCCTAAATTAAAACGCCGATGAAATTTTTCACAGCATCTGTCGCACTATACCATGTACCATGCCCTCTACCCCACGCCGAAAATAAATCGCCGCCGAAATGTCAAAAATCGTGAAGTGCCGAAATTTTGCAGCGCCGAAATTTTGTATATTTACAGTAATGTACAGTCCATTTCAAAACTATAGACGCGTAGTGTTTTGCAAAATTCGATGGGATTTATTTAAAAAAAATTAGTTTTTTCTCCAGATTCCGTCTCTGCATCGCTTCACAATTCTGGCTATGTACTTTGTTTTCGCTACAATTGTAGTTTATTTTTAGGCCAGGTTTTCCGGTTTTACATGTAATTCCTGTTTTGAAGGGTTTGACCAGTTTGTTTCGGATTTTTGCTCCTGCTAAGACAGTGCTGCGCCCAGACCATCGCGGGTGCATTTTTGTACTGGCCTGGTAGCCTCGTGGTTTCGATCCGTGATTTCCAGTACAAGTGTGGGCGCCTAAATTAAAACGCCGATGAAATTTTTCACAGCATCTGTCGCACTATACCATGTACCATGCCCTCTACCCCACGCCGAAAATAAATCGCCGCCGAAATGTCAAAAATCGTGAAGTGCCGAAATTTTGCAGCGCCGAAATTTTGTATATTTACAGTAATGTACAGTCCATTTCAAAACTATAGACGCGTAGTGTTTTGCAAAATTCGATGGGATTTATTTAAAAAAAATTAGTTTTTTCTCCAGATTCCGTCTCTGCATCGCTTCACAATTCTGGCTATGTACTTTGTTTTCGCTACAATTGTAGTTTATTTTTAGGCCAGGTTTTCCGGTTTTACATGTAATTCCTGTTTTGAAGGGTTTGACCAGTTTGTTTCGGATTTTTGCTCCTGCTAAGACAGTGCTGCGCCCAGACCATCGCGGGTGCATTTTTGTACTGGCCTGGTAGCCTCGTGGTTTCGATCCGTGATTTCCAGTACAAGTGTGGGGCATTCGAATCCCATCACGCCTCCTGCCTTTTTTTCTCTTCTTTTCTGCATGTTTTGGATCTTGTTGGGTGAAATACAGTAGGGATGATAATTATACTTGTATTTTCTCTTTTTGATATGATTTGAGCTTCCCTGTTCTCTTCGCCTGACACAACGAGTGACAGTGGTTTCACTCACGCCAGTTGCAAGCTGAGTTCGACGACGAGGATTTCGGATACTCAAGCTTCGATCAAAATCTAGCTCTTGTTCGAAGAAACAATGAACACCGGACTAATCATATCTTTCTCGGCATCACTGAGATTCTTACGGGCCTTGGAAGCCATTACAGTCAGGCACTCAGAAAATGCAAACAAGAAGAAGAATCATTTGAGACTTTCATTTCTTTTGAGACTTTCCTCACACCTTTTCATTTGCGACTTTGCGCGTTTTGCATCTTTTGTATTTCCCGCGGCGACGAAGAAAAACCTGAAAAACACATCTGAAAACCAGAAACCACTCAGGCAAAACTCACGGCTGTCGTGCGCTACGTATGACTCGTACGTATGAGGTCACGCGTCTATAGTTTTGAAATGGACTGTAGTGATGCATGCATATGCACTGGTGTGATCCGTGATGTAGTGTAGTGGTGCATGCATATGCACTGGTGTGATCCGTGATGTAGTGTAGTGATGCATGCATGTGCACGGGTGTGATCAGTGATGTAGTGTAGTGGTGCATGTATATGCACTGGTGTGATCAGTGATGTAGTGTAGTGGTGCATGCATGTGCACTGGTGTGATCAGTGATGTAATGTAGTGGGGCACGCATATGCACTGGTGTGATCAGTGATGTAATGTAGTGGTGCATGCATGTGCACTGGTGTGATCCGTGATGTAATGTAGTGGTGCACGATGGACAGACTTAACTCGAGGCTACAGTAAGACGGCCCATGCAGCTAGTGCAGCCGGCATACCGATGATTTTTTGGTGTTTTTTGCACAGTATGAGATTGGGTTAGAACTAGTTTTCCGCATCCGTAGGAATGCAATCACCCTCAAAGATCAACGCACAGACGCAGCTCATAAAGCGGTGGGAGATGAGTAGATCAGACCCACCGCCAAGTGGTCAAAGACCGAAAATCCCATTCGCTGCATCCACGTTTTCCTCGTGATAGAACAAAATCCTTGCGCTTTTCCAACCAGGGCTTGAACCTGATACCCTCGGTTTCTTAATCAAGGTCTTCGACCATGCCTGTCGGCATGCCGATACTTGCGCACACAATACATTTCCCGGACGGCACAATATGCATGTACGCGACCGCCACTCCCGATTGGTTTGCAAGACGGCAGAGTCTTGCAGGGGCGTCAATTCTGAAGAGGGCAGACTTGCTAATTCTCCCGCCAGAATTGACGCACACGCCATGCTAGGTCCACATGCGCGGCTGCGCGCGAGGGTGTGCGGGATCCCACGTGATCCCCCGTTCACGATTCTTACGGCGTTCGTTTACATGGCCGCAGTCCACGGTTCATTCAGTTCATTCGAGAATTATAAAACCTGGGTCCAGAATGTGTAATCGAACGTGTCCAATGTGCATGTACAGTGCAGGCAACTGAAATCTGACCCCTGAGCGGTGCGCTCACATCGCAAAGACCCAACATGGGATAGTACAACTACGAAACACATGCAGAGACCGCTACAGAATGTGAACGCATCGCTAAGGGGTCGGATTTCAGTTGCCAGCGCTGTAGATCTACAGTGTGATTAACTGTCCCTGCGGGAATTTGCGGAAAAAAACTCTCGAAAACTTGCGCAAGAAATTGCGGCAGAAAACAACAAAAAATGCGAAGAAAAGTGCGGAATGATGCAGAACTTGCCAGGAATTCGCGGAATTATTTACAGAAAATTGCGGATTTGGGCCAAATCACGAAATTTGTTGCATCGTATATCTACTCGGGAGTAGTACGAGTCGTACTGTGCAAATAACCTACAGGATCATGGAAAGCACTGCATGAAAAGTGCATAAAAAGGTGAGATAGTGCAGAAAACAACAAAAAACGCGGGAAATCGCGGATTTTGCTCAAAATCGAGGGTTTGGGCCAAAATCGCGAAATTTGTTGCATCCGTGGAATCGCGATTTCCTGGAGGGACAGGATTAAGTGCTGCACCTTGGTCCGGTCCTCCTCCGGTTGGCACTATGCAGGGGCGTCGGACACGGTACAGTCACTACGGCATTGAATTGACCGTACCACTTTTTGCCCCAAGTACCCCGTGACTCAATGAAATACACTGATCTGGGATCTAAATTTCCAAAATTCTCGGCTCAGCCACCACTCCCCGGATCCCCCACGAGTTGTACTCCAGATGGCCAGGCTTGCCGTACCACACTAAAATACCTTCCGACGCCCCTGCTGTGTGGCGATCATAACGGATCAGAGTCGGATTCGCAGATAATAGAGTATTTTTTAGATCGCAGAGTTGTCTTCCTCGTGCTCGCTGTTCAGTATTTTGCTGCAGCGTGTTTATCAGCGGACAGTGGGTTTTCTTGTCGGTGGCGCAGTCCCAGAAAACAGCGACGGTGACGCCGCGACCACTATTTTCATTGAACTGTCTCAATCGGCGCGCACATTCAGCAGCAGTAGTGTCATATTCATCATCGCGTATCCGACTCGTGCTCACCTGTAGTAAGAGAGCAGTCCATTGTTCAACACAAACCAGCGCTTCTGGTAGCCTTTCAAATAGTTGGTCCACTTCGACAGCCAGCCGCGATACTCGGGAGCTACCTTTCCATCCGGCATCGCTAGGCTGCAGTTTACACGACGCTGCAACAGTTTTACAATGACCGACGGACAATTACTTTTACAGTGCGCCAGACTAGGGAAGCGCTGCTAGCTGCTGACTACGCGTATACGGGGAATCAGTCCAACAAGAAAAACACCTCCAGCGAGCAACTACCTAACTAATAAATTACTTCGTCTTTTTCTAGAGCTGAGGTCGATAGCGATACAGCGATCAGGCTTCGCAGCTGCTAACCAGCCAAAGAAAACCTCAGCTGCTGTTTACCATGGTTTACACTCCGTCTTTGACGAGCTAGCACGGAGTCTGGCTACAGTACATGTATACAGACTATACAGTGCATGCTGTCTTTGCTGACAAGTCGGCACTCAGTCGTTTCCCACTGCACCTCCAGTTTTGCGTTTCCAAACCACTGCATGCATGCACTCCCTAGATCCCTACAGTACAGCGCTAGCTAGGCTAGCTAGGCCCTGGCATGCAACGCAACGAAGACTGTCCTAATTCGCACCGGTGTTTGGTTCCAGACGCCGAGAACCCGCGAATTCATTGCTTTTTTTACTACTCGCCCTGTCAAAAGATTGAAAAATAAATGGGGAAAGTGTCAACATTTGCACAAAAGGCGCGAAATATATCTCGGAGGACGTGAAGCTCGAAAAAGACGAAAGCAGCGTCGATTGAGAAAAAGCTTCAAAAAAGCCTCAGTGAGTTTGAAATCATTATTGTCGTGACTTGCGAAGTTAGTTGTAGTTCGGGCTGTTTTCTGCGTCCTTGTTTAGCACACAAGTCCATGGCCACTGGTCTAGGCTGGCAGGACGTTGCTTGCAGCTAGCAGCAGATCTAATCCACGGCTGAGTGTGGGATGCATGATTTGTGAAAATAACCTTCCTCACGTTGTGTTGTGAATTCGACTGTTGTGACGGTATTATTGCTTTTCGAACTACACCCACTCGATCCTGGGAGATGTCCCGACAAGCCACGAAGCATCAGAGAAGGCAGGAGCGACTGGCGGAGCAGCTTGTCTCCCGCGTTACTGGTCTTGACGTATGTTTGGGCAGTAATGTACATGTACAGTTATTGCAGTGCTTGTACAGTAGAACCTGGTTTAAGCGACCGCCCCACGGTGCAAGCAAAAGCGGTCGTTAAAGCCAGGTGGTCTTTAGAACCAGGTCCCACAGTGTCTGTGTAGAACTGTCGATGCATGGGGAAAACGGTCGTTAAGAGCAGGTGGTCGCTAAACACAGAGGTCGCTTACACCAGGTTTTACTGTGGTTATTGAAACCAATGCACGAAGAAAAATACATTCCACTGAACTCTAGTACATGTACAGTCGTCCCTCTCTAATCCGGCACCTTTTGCTACGGCGTTTTCTGCTGGATTAACGAGGGTGCTGGATTAAGAAATCCTGCCCTCTGACCCGGCCCTACCCAATTGCATGCATGTATCATATGTCAAAACGCGGGTTTTTTCCGTGTCGACCCAAGTATTTGGTGCACGGCTTTATATTCTCAACTGTTCTCCAGGAATACACACAGTGATAAAGTGATAAAGTAAAACAGAGAACATGTTCACATGTACTCTTGCACGCACACGCACACACACCTGAAAATTGGCAGGACACACACCTGAAAATTGGCAGGACACTACTCCTTGCTAAAATAAAAAAGTATGGTTGACTGCTTAGCCGTTGTCTCCTGGACAACATTGACCCTCTTGAGAAGGCCACGCAAGCAGTCGACATCATGCAGGTCGAACGTTGTAGTTAGTTGTAGAACGTCAGTACCGTTGGTCAGTGTCGTGCAATGTTATCGCATGAGCTGATTGTTTAGTAACTGATGGTGTTAGTGGACAGTATAGCGTAACTTGTAGTTCCTTGGTCTTTCTCTTTGTATAAATTGAGTTAGGGTTCGGAAAAGTCCTAACAACCAACCGTACTGAACTCTCCCGTGCGAGGTCGAGTACAGTTGTCAACTGAACTGAACTCTGAAGTGGCCCCGCGCGCGCGCGGCACTGACCAGACTGGCCTAGCCTGGCCTGGCAAGGAGTGCACCTGTACGGTACGTGATTTACGACTGCCGGATTATGAAATCAAACTACGTGCAGTTTGAGCGTTTCGTTTCAAAAAGTCACTGCCGGAGGCGGAATTCAAGTGCCGGATTAAGATGTAGGAATTGAACGAAAAAAATCGGTTTCGTCAGAAAGTGCGCCGGTTGGGAAGGGTTCCGGATAAACAAGTGCCGGATTAGAGAGGGACGACTGTACCAAGAGTACATACCCCCCCCCCCCCCCCCCCCCCCCCCCAGAGTGTGCAACTCCACTATGGGTGCTGTCCCGACAGAATTTCAAGTTGACATCATTTTGATGATGCAATGCGCACTGTACACGGATTATCAGACGAATCCGGAACCTGTGGTTGACCGAAGCCGATCGATCCTGTACAAATTATTGCAAAGAAAAACGTGTGATGCGTTGACACCCGTCCGTACACATGTTGTAAATCACTGGTGCAAGGAGCATTGCGTCATAAATAATGACGTCAACTTGAAATTCTGTCGGGACAGCAGGGTATGTGGGAGTTGCACACTCTGGGGGGTTATGTACTCTTGCTATTACACAAACTGGTCTACTGCCGGCGCCGTCACCATTTATACCGAGTAGCTCGGTGTACTTTCAGATCACTTACGCACCGACACGTGGCGTTTTGCGAATGTTCGTGGGGCTGTCCCTGCGGGAATTTGCGGAAAAATGTGTCGAAAACTTGCGCAAGAAATTGCGGCAGAAAACAACAAAAAATGCGGCGAAAAGTGCGGAAAGATGCGGAACTTGCCGGCATGCCAGCGGAATTACATGTATTTGCAGAAAATTGCGGATTTGGGCCAAATCACGAAACTTGTTGCATTGTTAGAATCGTTATTTGCGCAGCATATCTACTCGGGAGTAGTACGAGTCGTGCTGTGCAAATAACCTACACTACAGGATCATGGAAAGCACTGTGAAAAGTGCATAATGATGTGAGATATAGTGCAGAAAACAACAAAACACGGGAAATCGCGGATTTTGCTCGAAATCGCGGGTTTGGGCCAAAACCGCGAAATTTGTTGCATCCGTGGAATCGCGATTTCCTGGAGGGACAGGTGGGGGTACATTATTTAAGTTTTTACGCTCATTTTCCTTGCAGAATTGCCGCAGAATATAGAAGGATTTGCAGAATTAGCGCAGAATTTACCGTTTTCAGCCGCAGAATTCTGCACGGAATTTCTGATATTCTGCCGCGGAATTCACGGGGGACAGTACATGGTGTGTGTGTGTGTGTGTGTGTGTGTGTGTGTTTGTGTGTGTGTGTTTGTTTGCATTACAGGATGGTGATGTTAACTTTTCGACTGCCCTACAATACGTCGTCTCCAGTATAGTGTAAGTATCTTTACTCTTACCTGTTCAGTTTTCATGGACTCGATAAGGGACTCTGTGAGCTCCTTGCTGAATCCTGACAATTCGATGGAAGCTTGAGGGCTGGAATATGGCTCTCTGTGTATGTGTGTGTGTGTGTGTGTGTTGGTCTTTCGAATGCTGCAGGTACCATCGCTTCCTGGATGCATCTCGGAACAGCGTAGAGAGGAGTGTCGACGGGTATGTTCTTTGGCAGTGTCTCTCCTGTTCGGAGAGTGTGTGTGTGTGTGTGCGTGTGTGTGTGTGGCGGGGGGTGTGCTAGTGGTGCTGGTTGTGGTAGTGATGGTGCTGGTGGTGGTGCTGGTGGTGGTGATGGTGGTACTTTGCTGACGGTCCTTTTATTTGTGGTGCTGGTGCTGGTGGTGTGGATGGTAGTTTTTTTTTTTTTTTTTTTTTTTTTTTTTTTTTGTAAGTTCCCACCTTCCAACCCGGCAAATATTTAGATTTTGATAAAAACGGTTCAAAGCCTCTCAATCATTTTGTAATACTTGAAGTATATGAAGTATAAATATACGAATAATGATGGTAGTTCAGTGCAGTTTGATGGTGAGTGTGACACACTGTACTGTACTGTAGTAGTGACTTAACTCCCTCGCACCCAGACACTTGATTTTTTGAAAACAAGTTTCTATACTTCCGATGGGAGAATCCGACATGGCAGTGCATTTCGGCGTGGCCAGGTCGAATTGTAGAATATCGCATCGAGTGAATTGCTTTATCTGAGAGAGGAGATGTTCGTGCCCTTGAGACCCGAAGTCCCGTTTCCATACGACAAAATTTAGGAGCTCTGCGCTCAGCGCTTTTTCAGGGTATGAATTTCGGGTTGTTCTGGTCGGGTCGCAGCGTCGCAGACTATACCATCGTCTTCAGCGTCGAAAAACTACTGGCCATGTGAAATTACAAGGCGGTGCGCTTTCGTCTTCCTCTACGAGCGAATTTGTTCTGCGCCAGCATACCAAAGTATGCAATTTCGTACGCGCAGTTCGAGTGGCGAGGCGTGTGCACTGTACACTGTACTGCATGCACGGACTATGCGGTTGTTCTCGATTCTCCCATCACTCCCATTCATTTCTGTTTCCAGCAAAAGTCCAACTTGGCGCACTTCAAATCACTATAACTCAAGAATGGCTGGGCCGATTTGAATAATACTTACAGATTTCCTATGTACTACGCCTGGGAAAATCGACTGAGACCAAAATCGAAGCGATCGGAGCAAGTTTTGGAAATTGGGTGTAGTCACTAACTGTAGTTCATGATGCTACTGTCGTACGTGTAGTAGCAGTGCGATTGCTCGGCCTGCGGCAGTGTGCTGCAAACAGCCTGCAATGCATGCTTTGCTCCTGCGCATACTGTAGTGTCTTGCATAAAAACCGGTCTCCTTTAGAAGCCTGTTTTGAATACAAGCCTGATTTTTCGAGATGAACTGTCGGCACATAAGCCCGGTTTTAGTGTTGATATACAGTCAACTGTGCGTATAACGACACTCGGCACGGCATCAGTTATGTGTCCTTATTCGCGAAGTGTCCTTATACCCGAAGTCTCATTATGTACAGTCAGACCTCGCTTATCCGGTCCTCTTTTATCCGGATCCCTTGCCATCCGGAAGAAAATAGCTGGTTACATATTTGCAGCATACGTGATGCATCCAACATAAACGGTGTTCGGTTATCCGGTTCCCTCGCCTATCCGGATATTTTTGTGGAAAACAGATGTGTGCGGTTAAGCGAGGTTCGACTGTATTACAGTTGGATGGAACTTTGCTCTGGGCATGGACATTCTGTCGTTATTCGCGAATTGTCGTTATATCCGCAGTCGTTATTAGCGAAGTTGACTGTACATAGACATACGTGTCTTGTATGGAAGCCTGTCTCATATGTAAGGACGCGTTTGATTGGTCGGATCCGGAACAGGATCATTTAGAACAGGGGCGTTTGATTGGTCTGCACTGGTCTGCTCTGGTTTTGGAGTGTTCAGAACATGTTCTGACCACTCCGACCCCCAAGGCTGGAGCAGCCAGAGCATGTTGCAAAGCCCACTGAAAACCTGACAGAACTACGCAATGGGTTTCGTTTTTTTGTTTTGATTTGAATGGATTTTGGCATGTCAGTGATTACGAAAGGACGTGGTGATGTACATGGAGGTCTACGTGTGATTTTGCACATTACACGGCGGTCCCCACGTCCATGATGGATTTTTTTGGCTGTCTTCGAAGCTTCTGCTCAGGTTGTAGTTGCCTTTCAAGTTTGGTTTGCCTTCGCATCTTGAGCAACGTAAAAATCTTTGAACTCTGTGGAAATTTTGAAGTTTGCGGCACGATGAGCTATCATGAGTTCCACAATATTCCCGGCAAAAATATTCGCCGTTCTGTTTGATTGGTAACTGGTGTTCTGACTGCTCCAGTGACTCTGATCTGAATCCGGATTCACCAATCAAACATGCCCTTAGCCTGCAAACTTTCCCCAAAAAGTCATAAATGCTGTGGCTTTTATGCACGACTTTACGGTACTTTGCTCATCTCTCTTACTTTTATCTGCTTTTCTCCTGCTCAGACTGTGCACAAAGTTCAAGGTTCACGTCCAGCAGGAGAAGAGTGACAAACTGCGGCAGCTTGTCGACGAGTTTCTCCGGCGGGATCTGAGGAGTAATTCAGCCAAGGTGGGCATGGTGAAACTTGTTTCATGCACTCATAATTGTCATTGCCGACCAGTTTAATAGGGGCTATCTGGCATTATCGATAATTTTCACGAAACAAAAAAGTTTAGTTAGGACCCCCACCCACCCCCCTGAACGAAAAATAGATTGACTTGACAGCAAGAATGCCTTGATGTCTCACATATCGATATTTTTCAAAACGAAACTCCCCTTGACCCACCCACCCATAAACGAGACTTTTTCTCTTCGTGTAAAAGATCGATAATTATGGACCGTCCAAGGTTACCAATCATATTTTCAAAACGAAATGTTTTCGTTTGTGGGTGGGTGGGTTTGATGGAGTTTCGTTTTGAAAATAATTATTGAATGCTGATGGAGAATGCCCAGTTACTTCTGGGTGTCGAAAATTGACATCAATATTTTATTGGAATTCGTTTTACCTGCAGAAAAGGTGGGTGGGTGGGTGGGGGCTGAAAAATACTAAAAATTTTCGTTTTGTAAAAACAATCGGTAACCCCGGACGGCCCCTAAAACGATAATTGGCTGTGTGGATTGCGTCGGTGCTGACACTTCTTTCGAAAGTAAATCAATAGTTACGTCTTCTGGGTTCCGACTGAGCGGGTCTGCCGAATGATTATGTACCCGATTCAGCACTGCCCTTTTGCTGGGCAGGATCTGGTACAGTGGCAGTGCACCAGCGTGCGTAGAACGCCTGGGGTCAAATGTGGTGCGAGTGTACTGATGAGGCCTAGGCCTATACAGCTGAAACAGCGTGCTGTCTACAGCATTGGGGAATATCGTCCTATATTCTCCAGGAATAGCGGCTGCTGATTGGCCGAATTTATGGCTTCTTTCCATGCTATCATTGCTATGGTATAAACTACAATATGCATGACATATGTACGTGTTCATGACACATATGT